TTGCACTGTATGGGCAATCTTGTTCTATTGAACATTCTAAGCAGCGAGTTGCAGCGCCTGCTGCGCGAGGCTTCTTCTCCTTGCGAAAATGCTGTAAAGAGCCGAACGAAGAGACTCGCATCGGCAACGCAGGGGAAAGCCAGTGACAAAGGATGTCTATATCACTTGCGTACCCGATCAATCAAGATGTCGTGCGCGGTCAATTAGGGTACTCACTGGCAGCTCTTGGTCATGAGAGAAAAAGAACTCTCAGATTCTTTCCTCCAATGGCCGCGAACGTAAGAGTGCGCAAAATGAAAGTAACCAACGGGCTCGACGTGAACCACGTTGATCAGCTCACCCAGCTGTCCTGAACGGACCACTTCGGTGACGGCCATGCTGTAAGGGGAATAGCGCAAGACTGCCGCACGTGAAGTTTGAACGTTATAGCACGACTAGTGATAAAGCTCACCATGACCAATTCCGCAAATGATGCCAGCGTTCTTGACTGCCTTTTCTATTTCAAGGCAGTCTTGTAAATTTGTAGCCATGGGTTTCTCGCAAAGTATATGGTATCCCTGGGCTGCGAATGCCGCTACCACTTCACAGTGCATGTGGTCTTGCACCGCGACTATTACTGCGTCTGCGAGACGCTTCCCGATAGTTTGAATGGTATCAGCGGAAGCCTTTAAGAGCTCCTGCCAATCATTGAACACAAGGGTCCGATCGAGCTTGTGGTTACGGGCAAATATATCGCGAGTGTTTGGCCTCGGTTCTGCAATAGCGACTACCTTGCACGTCTTCGGGTGATCAAGGGCATATTCAGTATATCTCTGCGTACAAGCGTCAGTGCACCGTGAGGAGGCACACAATTGATCTCATACAGTCCCTCTCTGACCACAGCCGATGACGGCCAACGTGACAGGCTCATTTGGCAGGGATGTCATGATTGCAGAAAGGGATTCGTTGGACCTGACGCTCGAGCGAGACCACAGGGACTTTATAGGGCGCAAACGCGACATCATGTGGTCTCTTGATGGTCCGATATCGAATGCTATATCTGAACACAATCAAGCGCAGGAGCTTATCGCTGTACCATGAATGAATTAATGATATCAGCATTCTGCTGTGCGTCGCAGCGGTGGTCGCAGTCGTGTATTACAAGGGTGTCCACAGTAATTTTGGCAAGTTTATTCAGGGTTGTCACAGTCGGGAGCGCTTCAGTACATGCCTCGCTTACTTCCACGTCTGCTCAAAATCTTGCAAGATGCCCCAGAGCCCAACACGTTGAGCAATGGATATACACGCTACAAAAAGCGTGTTTCTATGAAAAATACTATTCCAGGAACGCCCTCTTTCACTTCAGAAGGCAGGACTCACTCAATATTGTTGGACGACGCGAACCCAATCACCGAAGGTCATCTTTATAACAGACATAAGTCACTACCACCCAGGGTTCGTCTTGTGAAGCCACTGCAAGATACCGGGGCGCATGACCATCCGCGGGAAATGACGGACGAGGAACGCGAATGGTGGTCCAGCCCTTACCGTGCGTTGGGTACACCGTTTCTACTCTCTGTCTACTTATCGCTCTGATGCAGTCAGAATGCTTGCTTCGCCGTTGCGAGAATGTCAGATAACGCGTAAAAAGCTACCTTGTGGTGCGTGAATAGCAAAGGCTTATGTTGCACTTCCTTCATCCCATTCCTAGACTTTCTCATCCGTCTGGCACCTGTGCGCCTCCCAGCCTCTCAGGGAGTATGCGAACAACAGATATTAGTTCCAGATGGTATCGAGCATCCTAAGTTCAAGCCTCGTCGATCCACGCCTGCATGTTATATTGTATGCTGGAAAGATGCCCTCCCATATGCAACTTCTAGGAGTGCGTGACGGATTGCAACTTCATTGCAGCCATAACTGAGCTCTTCTCAGTCCCACTGCGCAAATTCTCGCAAAACTTGATCGTACAACCTTTACTATCAGCGCGCATCGGTTACCAGCTCCGTTTACGAGTCCTGCAGGAACTGGAACTTCTTACTAAAAGGCTTGCCGCAGGCCCGTTGGATGATCCTGCGGCAACAGTGCTTCGAAGACTCACCCGTTCTGAATGGAACGTAGTTCGGCAAACTAACTCGATACCTCACAAAGATGCGGTGGCCCTGATGGTAGTACCCCCAGTCAACCAGAACCCAGAAACAAAGGAGAAGCCACAGCCCTCCGCACAGATGGACATCGCTGATGTTGTGCAAATCGATACTAACAGCTCAGAAACCTCATCGCGGCGTCTTCCCCCTCTTTCCATTCTCCATCCAGTCACAGATGATGATCTAGGTTCTTCTCTTCTTCCAAATGCGCAAGCTCCTCTCTACCACGGTCTATCTTTATTTCCTGCCCGACCACAGCGAGCAGCACTGCATAAAGCACTCTGCAAGCTACTTGAGGTAGAGCGTAGAGCACGGTCGCGCGCACTTCCGGCCTCTGACTTTTCCGAAAATGAAAAGTCACCACGAGCCCGTGGTGATGCCAAGGGAAGCCATGCGTTCCTGCTATGTTCGAATCAGCATACTGCCAAACGGGCAGATGTTGTACCTTTAGCAATAGCTCTCTGGAGATTGCGAATGTGGGAGGGGCAAGCTTACGGTTCCGCTGTTGAGACGAGTCACTGGGAGGTCGATGCAGGATGGAGATTATCATGGGCAGAGAAGATGTACTGAACAACCATACCGATAGTACTCAATATGACATTTAATTACAAGGAATGTCAATCAGGATGACCACTTGCAAGACGATGTTGTGATTTTGCATCAGTTTACACATCTACTCAATAGCCATTGCTGCCGGTTCCACGCTCTTCTTCACTGGCCCCGACAGTACCTCACGACCTTCCCAGAACTTGGGGAGTTTGTCGCCGGGAACAAAGAGCCGCTCGACACCATCCTCCGTGATTACGCACATGCGGATGACACCTCCTGATGAGCCGTCTCTTGCCATCGCAAGCGAAAGCGCTATGCGAAAACATTAGATCAACAGCAGGAAAGTGGTGTTGGGTGGTTAAGCACGCACTATTTTTCACGAATTCGACAGTCTCATCCCGCCCCCACCCATCCTGGTACGTTGCATCACAGTAACCGTATACATATGTTGAGCCAGAGCCTGATAACATGATATAATTGACTCAGTGTCGAACATGAAACTTTCAAGACGCACCTCCAATGGCCCACGGCTGGCGGAAAAGCCCTCCACCCAGAGGAATGTTATATACACTTGGACCGACCTCCTTGTCCCACCCAGCAACGATGATACCCGCGCTGAGAGCGTCCTTGTTATCATAACAAATATCCTGGAACATGCCTGCAGCCGACGAAACTGGAGGGTGGGCGCCGTGGATTTGCCTACGAGTGCTCAGTGGAAGCAAATTTGTGACTGTTGATAGATGAAGACCTACGTATATAGCTGCAAGTAGTTGTGTACTATATCTGCGACTGCTTGCGTGTCAGCTGCAGATCCTGAGCGACAGCAGTATATCCGATCGTGGACATGGGTGAGCTTGTCTGTTACACGGTTGGCCTGGGGTTCGTAGAGATGAGGAAACAAATAGTGAGTAGGTAAGAGTGCGCACGATGTAGCTTCCAGTTGTCGTACGACTGTCGGCGCCGATGACGACGCCCTTGTCAAACTGAACTGCCATGATAGAGGTCTGCCAATGGTGTACATTAACGATAATAGAATAATGATTAGAACGTTCATACCCCGAGATTGACCTCTCCGCTCTTGAGTCTGTTCATGTCAATGCGATCCATACTGTTGTCGACGTCGTCGTGTGTTATGAAGAAGTGTAATGACAATCTTGAGTTGTGGCTGAGTAGCTAAGTAGCGCTGACGCGTCTGGACGCGTGTTCTCTACTTGTTTCTGATTTCCATTCATCGAACTTGCAACTTCTGTTATAGTCACAAATGGCTTCTCAGAAATTGGCTACATTATACAACGAGCTACAGCGTGCATTCGATGCGCGACCGTCAGACTTGAAGAAATGCGGGACACTGCTAGCTCAGCTAAAGGTGTGGCCAAGTTGATCTAAAGCTTTGTGCATGTCTGACTTCACGCTAGGTTGGCTTGATAGAAGCCGGTCTATTAATCCCCCAAGGAGAAACAAATTTCCATGACTTGGTCGTTGCTCGTACGTTAGAACGGTCTGTGATGTGCTATGTGATGACAGTGGGACAGGTGACATCCTCGAAATCGGGGTCTTCTGGAGTATAAGAGCGAAAGACGTTCCTTCGTTCGATAGATATTTCTCCCAACTGCACACTTTCTACACGGACTTCAGGTATGCACAAATATTCTACCCAGATTACTTTCTCCTCATATGCATCAGGTCAAGTCTCCCTCCGTCGAAGCGTGAATTCGCAGTCCGGGGCTTGAACCTCATTCGTTTGCTCACACAAAACCGCATCGCTGATTTCCACACTACCCTTGAATCACTTCCACTTCCCGCCGATGAGATCAACACAAATCCATACATCAGGCATCCAGTAAATCTCGAGCGCTGGCTCATGGAGGGTAGCTACAGCAAAGTGTGGAATGCTCGTGAGGAGGCACCGGCAGAAGAGTACAAATTCTTTGTCGACAGCCTTATGGGTACCATTCGGTGAGCTGTTTTCTGCTGGTCTGATCAACATCACTAAGAATTATTGCCAGGAATGAGATTGCCAGTTGCGAGGAATCGGCATACGATAGCCTTCCTTTGAAGGACGCCGCAACTCTGTTATTCTTTCCCTCACAGTCTGGGTTATTGGTATTCGCCCAACAGGTAGGCACTTCAAGGTCCCGGAACCCTCCTTTACTGATCTTGTTTACAGCGCGGTTGGCAGGTAGACCTGACAGCTGGCATGATAACGTTTGCAAAGAAAAATGACGAACAAGTAGAGATTCCAACACAGAAGCTCATTGCAGCAAACCTGGCATACGCTCGTGAGCTAGAGCAAATTGTATAGACACCACTTCATGTTTGGCTCCTTCATTTTCCGGGTGAATCGAGGAACGATGATATCAAACGTGCTATTATCTGAAATTATTCAAAAGTCTCTAATGCCTCCTGAGCTTTCCTCTTTGCCTCTTCAAGGAGGTTGGCTGGTACAGGTAAATGAAGGTTGTTGGACTCAACACCAACCCAAGTCATCTCCAGCTCAAATTCCTTCTCTTTGTTGTCGTCATGGACGAGGTATATTCTGCGGTGAAGTATTTAGGTGAGAAACGTGAACACAGGTGCCAGACAGCGTACATTCTCGCAGCCTCCGTAACAGCTTCACGCATCGACAGTTCAGATAGCTTAAGCTTCTCCAGCTCGGTTTTGGCCAGCTGACGGCCTTTGCCGACCGCTGCACCATGATATCCCTGGCATATTATCAGTATCGAGATATTTTGACCTGCAATGCGCTCACTAGGCAGACGCCACTAGGCTCGACTATATACAGTGAAGGACCACTCTTGTCGACGCCACCAAAGATCGTACTGACGCCGAACGGGCGGACAGACGAGTACAACGTATAAGTTTGAGCATTCCAGCTTACAGAATCTGACAGGGCCTGGTGATAGTGAATGAGTATAACATACTGGCGTTCCAGCGTAATCTGATCACCTTCACAGTTAAAGGTTCTCTCCACTGTTTTCGAGCCTGAGCTCCCGAGTCACGAGCCAGCTGTGATATTTTCCTGCCATCGGCGAGAAGGCCGGCAGATGCCTTGAGCGGACATCGTACATAAGTTCATTGAGAAATTTACCAGCGCACTCACCATGCCTATATGTTTGTCTACTGTTTGAATGCGTCGGTTAGCTCCTGGGACAAGGAGCTTGGAGTGTACGAGCTTCTCCACCGCAAGGACGACACCATCCTTAACGCGTAGCCCGATCGCAGTGCTGAGTTAACGAGGCAGACCGTTAGCAACAATGAAAGTACCTGAAAGAAAGCTTAGATACCCTGAGTTCTCTACCGCCTTGTTGGCGTATTCGACCTGGGATGATAAGATTGAGAATACCGTACTGTTGGACGAGTTTCAGCGATTTCACCTGAAATATACGGCCATCTGGTGAGTATGTGCTAGCTGAAAGATCGTAACCTGTCCCGATGGAAGTCATGGTAGTAGGTAAGTATGTAAGTGAGCTGTCCTCGTACGCGCAAGCTTGAGCGCGTCAGCCCGTGGGAAATAATAACCGAACCGGGTCAGACGCGTTTCTGAGCCGGTTCGACTTCACTCCCTCTTCACCGACGCGACTAGTATTAGCCATGACTCAAGATGATTGGAGCACAATGCTTGAAGGACATCCAATATTCACGCTTCCAAAAGCCTATGGAGGTCCAACAGGACAGTCAGAGGAGTCACTGGAACTTTCTACGAATACATTGAAGAAATCTATGCTTGAGGGGCCTTCGACGGATGGGCTCACCCTTTCAGGACGTCGTCAGGTTATGGTCCTGAAGGATTCTGATCTAATCGTAGCTGCTGGATGCGAACTGAGAATAACGTCTCTTTCGGACTCTAAGCTTGGGAGGAGTACGAACAAGTCTTTCAAAGTACGTGCCAATTCTGACAATCCTAGTTGTGGCTCACTGCTAGAGAAGATCTTGAATACACCAGATATTCAATTTGGAATCAACCAACTTGCACTGAATCCGAGCGGGAAGCTCATAGCTGTAGCGGGAGCATACCAGGTTGCAGTTGTGGTCCTCCCTCGCGCTGGGTATTCCAAGCTTGTGCCTTCTTCTGTGGACTGCAAGTAAGCGAGCGGTTTTCGTATGAATGTTAGCATCTGATCCGTTTGCAAAGGATCAATCCAAGTAGGATCTTTCTACCATCATTCGCATGCATCTGCCCCCATAGCCAAGATTGAATGGCACCCATGGGGCGAAGCAGGATCCACTCTTATGGTCATGACTGTCGATGGGAAACTGAGGTTGGGTTCACAACGATGAGTTTATTATATTTACTAACCTTTTTCAGAGAGTATGACATTTCGGTTGATACTGAAGAGCCCCAACAAGTTCTGTCCTTTGTTCCCGAGAAGAAGACCTCAAAGTCATATCTGGCCGAAGATCCTGCCGAGCGCGAGGTCGCATCATTCACTCTGGGAAAGGGTAAAGCAGATTGGGGCCCACTCACCGTCTATGCTGTTATGAGGTCAGGAGACATATATGCTATATGCCCCTACATGCCGCAAAACGCGTGAGTCTTATCATTTCCTGTGTGACACTACTTCTTAATCAATTACTTCTCAATCGATTTCAAGATCTGTTCCATCATCTTACGTCCACGCACTCGAGTGTTTCATCTCCGCTAAACAAGAGTTCCTATCCCAGGGAACATCCAGTGGAATATCAGCCCTTTCGACACTCTACAACTATCAGCGGAAATATGCCACAGCTCTGCTAAAGCAACTTCCACCTGGGACTGTGTACCCAGCAATCTCTCGCTCTTTCTCTATGCACCCTCCTACGACCATCAAAAGTCAACCGATGCGTCAGGGACCTTTCCTCCTCCAGCCTTCGCCTCGTTCATTGGAAGACAGTGAAGGCGGTGATGCAACGGACATCGCGTATCTTTCTTTCCTCCGTGATGATGACGATGAAGACGCAGGCGCGACTGAGCGTCTCGGAATTGTTATTGTCACTTATCAAGACGGTAAGGTTGATGTGTGTTTAGACGTAGAGAAAGTTGAAGCACGGTGGGAGAGCAAACAGGTTTGTTATCGAAATTATTGTATATTGCTGCTTATGGACGCGACTCTAGGATAAATCTCAGGACTTGCCTATGCTAGCAGTTTACGAGTGCATAGACTTGGGCCTGATTTCGATGCTGAAACAAACGTCTCCTTTGTCGTCAGGCACACCCATTCTCGACCTCCTTCAAGCAAACCACCCTGTCTTATTGATGGATCCGATACATGACGATACTGTTTACGTCTACCATGCTTTTGGCGTCCATGTCCTTGACTTTGGAGACCTACTGCAATGTCTCAGCAACGGACTCCGCGCAGATGACGACGACGGTGTTGCATTGAATCAAGCATTGCAAAAGTCGGCAGGCACCCATGTCGTGCCCTTGCTGAATACCTATTCAGTGGACCGAAGGTATGTGGATGAATAAGTTTCTACGATTTTAATGATTCACAGGTCAATAGATGCTCGAATCCGATTATTGCTATATCTGTACCAAACGACGTCTATCTCTCGTACAGTATCCTAATCCTTTCCTCTGTTTTTCGTTTTACGTCCTTCCCCCTCAACCTTCGCACCGATCTTTCTCTCTCTCGGACAGCTCCCAATCTTCCTGACAAGAATAAAACCTCTGAACCAGAGGATTTTCTTGCGCCCATTGAAGGACCATCGGCGTACATCTCACTTTTAGGCACGGAGCCCTTCGTGCCACCTCCAACGCTTTCGCGTCCCTCTGGACTGCCCAGCAATCCTCGCATCACGGCTGGGACCCCAAACACCAAAACAGAATTCGTGCTCACTCCTGAAACATTGCGATATCTGGGTTCAACAATTGAAGGCTTGACGTCACAGATCCACGAAATTATCCTCGCATACAAAGCCACAGAAGTACGAGCCGAACTGCAGGCGAAGGAATTCGAGCGACAGCAACAGAAATGTGGTGCGATGCTTGATCTCATTGAACAGCTGGGCGGCTCGCGGAATAGCGAAGTTAAAGAGCGGCTCGAGAGAATACGGGAAGCATACAGGGCGCTGGCATCGAGGCTGGATCACAGACTGCAGACGCTTATGCAGCAAGCGTCGCCGAAGCTTAGTGAATATGAGACGAAGTGGTTTGAGGAATTACGGAGAATGAAGGCAGAGATCGCTGGGGCGGGCAGGTACGATGAGCAATCGCTCGCTGCGCGAACATCACTGGTAATCATTTTTACCCTGGGTTTGGATCTCAGCTGACTATTGTGTAGCTTAAACGCGAGTACGACCGAATGTTGCCTAGCTTGAATGACATGGCTGCGAAGGAGGCAGAGCGCAAGAAGCATTTGAGTGAGAGTGGACTAGGATTATCCCAGGCTTTCCAATTTGGAGAGCGATCGTACCAAGAGTATGCACTTTGGGTTGAACTAGCTGTTTCTAAACTAACTCGATTATCATAGGCGCACCAAGATAGCCGAGCTGGAGGAAGAGATAATCAAAATGGCATCAAAATTAGAACTTTCGATGTCTCGCCCGCCATCGCTGCGGGAAATCCCCAAGAACGAATAGTTAGCACTTCTATATCTTTGATCTAGTGTACTTTTTGTCTGGAGGATAAATAATCACTGTAGGATACCGCTAGGGTTCTCAACTGCTCAGTACCCAAATCTTTGTCACGAGGATCATTATTATTGGCAAGCACAACAACTACGAGATACTCGGCTAGCATCTTCTCGTCTTTATCATACAATCAATAAAAAAATCAACCGTGTCGGATCCTCTTCCCTGCATTATCTGGCGTAAGCGACGTTTCACCTTCCTCTTGGGGCCTCTTCTGCTTGAGATTGAGGAGCGGACAAAGTTTGATATCACCAGCACTCTGTTGCACATCATCGAGATACTCTGCGGCTTTTCTATGCATATCTTCCAGAAGGGAGTCATCAAGCGCAAGCAAGGGATATTTAGACCCTGTCGTTTCATAACTTCTCTCGGAGAGTCTGTGCAAAACGAGGAATATTTTTGCAAACATTAGAGCCACACGGTAATAGACACACTGTGACAGTTATGATCATAACTTCTTGAGGATATCATATACAAGCAGTGCCATACTAATCAACATCTGGAACTATGGGTTTCTCCCTGCGGCTGCTTCTCGAAATATGCAGTATTGCTCAATAGAAAATTGTATTGCTTGCCATCACCCTGAATGGAATCAGGCCTCAGTAATCTGACGCAACAAAGCGCTGATGTGACTCACGATGAATGAAGAGGGGAAGCCAGGATCGAAAGGAATGATGCTCTCCAAATATTTCACGTGCTCGGGTGTTAGCGAAATCGCCAGAGACTCCAAGTTGGCCTCCAGCTGCTCCACTTTTCGCCCACCAATAATCGGGAACACATAGGGCGTCTTCTGCATAAGATATGCAATGGCCACAGCTGTGATGTGTTTAACACCAACTTCTTTCGCGACCTTCTCCAATGCTGCGCTCATCGCCCTCTCCGTCTCGTTGCGTTCCCAGTTGGTATTCATGAGCATGCGACCTTTCTCTCCTGTCTGTCGGCGGCGCTCCTCTTCTTCGTCGGTTCGAAATTTTCCACCGGCAAGAACATTCCAAGGGGCAAGTGCAAGACCTATGCAGGGGTGAACGTAAGTGGAGGCACCAGATAGCGAGCAACAAGGTTGATCTACCTTCGGAGCGGGCCATTGGTATGATATCTCGTTCAAAGTCCCGAAGCATGACGTTCCAAGCACCTTGGTAGATCACAAACGGTGATTTTCCATGATCCCGAGCATACTGGTTCGCCTTGGACACGACCCAAGCAGGAGAGTCTGAGATGCCCTGCCAGCGATACATGTTAACAAATGTTCATGTCAGCACAGTAGAAATGGGGATACTCACGAGATACAACACTTTCCCTTGTTGCACCAGTACATGCAGACCGTTCATGACCTCTTCGACGGAAGTATCCCAGTCCCACCAGTGCACGTACAGAATGTCGATATATGAAGTCCTCAGTTTCTTCAAACTGGCCTCAACGCTGAGGTGCATCGACTTGACGTTGTTACCGGTATATGATGCCTTCTGGCGAATGGCGTCGTTACCGCGCTGGTAATTGGTCGTGTACTTTAATACATGTGCGTCAGCATCGAACTATATTCATAAAATCCCAAAGTTACTTTTGTAGCGATCACGAGCTGGTCACGGATCCCCCGTTCCTCTGCCCACTCTCCGATGAATTCTTCAGAACTTTGATTTTGACTGAGAGGTTGTGAAGTGTGTCAGCGACGACGACGAATTCAATATGACTGTGACACAATACCCACTAGTTATTGGCAGTGTCGATGAAGTTCCCCCCAGCATCGTAGAAGGCGTCGAGGAGCTTGAATGAGGATATCTTGTCCATACTACCCATCCCAAATTTCTCCCACTTGTCACCGATGCTTCATGGCACCGAGCTGTAAGGGTGAGACATGAACGCCCGCATGAGGGGATAATGCGCGATATCGCGCTAGCCTAGATGATGGCTTTGGCACGGGTGCCCAAAACGAGGTCATTTGATTAGACATGGTTGTAGAGTTGGAGTTGTTGAAATACAGTTTGTATGAAGGTTGGTGGCATTTTATACATGTTTTTCACCTTGACACCTCGTCAGCACCATTGTGTGATCGCTGTGATGCCAGAGAAACGCGTCAGTTGTCTGAGTAAGTCATACCGCACAAACTTCAAATCAGCCTACGTAGTATATCGGCAGGTTCGGAGTGAGTTAATTATGCGCGAGGTCGGAACCGAGTCACTCACGCGTTTGTCATGAACATGTGTAAGACAAGCTTAGTACGCGTCACAGTACATAAAATGTACAAAGAGGTCAGAATTTCGGTTTGGAAGGTCACGTGATACTTTGGAGGAGGGATGTCGGGATCTAGATCTCGATCGATCGATTACTTCGCTGACGGCATGCGGTGCGGGGAGCGATTTCCAATATGAATGCGCTGCAGAGGTTAAATTAATTTAAAGGCGAAGACAAAGGTTCTATAAAACACAAGTAATTCTTTGCGTTCTTAAGGTATATAAATTTGCGAGTAGCACGTTAGTCAGGGACGCATCAACATAGTGCGGCAAACTGTCGGGGTTGCACAATACCATACATCGAAGCACTCTACACAACGCTGTATCTCCCCGCCACTGCAGTGGGATTCCGCATTTCTGCTTGCAGTGCCGCAGCAGACGCTTCGATGAGCAAACGTTTGATCTCTCGCACAGCTTGTTCCACCTGAAAGAGTGTCAATTCAGTGGACTACACCAGTAACGCGTAATGGAACACGCTCACCCTGTATTCCTCGTTGGACTCGATCAAGAGATGGAGTTTGGGTGGTCCTTCCAGAGGAGGCTCTTTCCCAGATTCGTAATATATACCTGTTACAATCAGGTCAAATTAACATACTGAACAATGACGCTTCTGAACAAACCTTTGTTGGTAACTGATGCGCCTGTCATATCGATAAGCTAACCAAGGGAAAAATATGAGTATATAGCCAAAAACCAAACATATGAACAACGCACCTGAACCATAGTTTCCTTGTTGGTGACCCTCCATCTAGCCTTCTGCGGGTAATCATTAATAGGTATGATCGCGTGGAAGTCTGTAGAGTCGAGGTTGGCTTTTCTGAGACCACTTTCGTCTGCCTGGATTTGAGACTGCAGGACCAGCCTCGTTGCCTTCATCTGTGCGTTCAGCTTTGCCATGACACTGAGGGCTTGCTTATGCGCGGCTGTGTCTTTCCCTGCACGCGCAGCAGCATCCTGGGCAGCCTTGAGTGACGCCTGAAGCTTCTCTTCTTCCTTTGCATGTGCGAGTCGCCTAGCAGCTGCAGCTGCTCCGGCTACTCCAAGTAAACCCTTCGAAGAATCAGGAGCGGGACCACGCTTGATTTCGACCTTGAAGTTGCCGAATGTCATATCATCGCCAGCAGTCGTGGGAGTCTTGACAGCAGCTTCATCAACCTTTTCTTCTTCCGGTTCACCGTAAGCTTTCCGCTCAGCCCGATCTTTAGCTTCACGCTCCTTATCGAGCCTATCAAGACCTTTTCCACCAAATCCTGAGCCTGCAACTTGCGCCTTCCCAGACTTGACCTTTTCCAAGAAGCCTAGCGACGTAATAAGCATAGATCACGAATACAATATAGCGAAACATACCGTTGGCCAGCTCCTCAAGCTCACTTGGAACAGCTGCATTACTTGCCTTAAGTGCACGGTAGATATCAACAGAGTACCTTTCTTGTTCAGGAGTTATAAATGTAACACATGTGCCTTTATTGCCTGCTCTCCCCGTACGACCAGCGCGATGAACATAGTCTTCCATATGATTAGGTGCGTCGAAGTTGATAACAAGCTTAAGCTGTTTGACATCCAAACCACGAGCAGCGACAGAAGTGGCGATGACGATGGGAACAACTCCGGATTTAAAGTCGGCAATGGTAGAATCACGATCAACCTGATCCTTGCCTCCATGCAGGGACATGCACAGGTACCCTTTGCGCATAAGGTCACGGAGCAAGTTATCAGCAGCTTCCTGTCTGTCGACAAAGATGAGAGTACGGCACTCAGGGTCTTCGTTGTACATTTGCCCCAGGATATCCAAGAGGCGATTGAACTTGGACTCCTCTGGACGCACTTCAACAATCTGCTCGATCTCCGCGGCGACCACAGAACGCCCGCCAACAGTGATTTCAAGAGGTTTCTGTAGAATTTTCCTTGCGAGAGAGTCCATTTGTTTTGGGAACGTCGCAGAGAAGAGCACCGTTTGGCGGTCAGGTCGAATGTTGTTGATGATCTTCATGACTTGAGGTTCGAAACCCATGTCAAACATCCGATCAGCTTCGTCAAGAACCACATAAGTGACACGCTTAAGGTTTGTCACCCGGCCAGAATTGGCAGTAAGGAGGTCGATCATGCGACCAGGTGTGCATACGATGATCTCAGCACCCTTCTTCAGCTCAGCAATCTGGTCCTTGATTGGGGAACCACCATATGCGCACACAGCCTAATAATGCGGGATAAGATATTATGGATAGATCAAAGACACGAGAAACATACACGAAGGTTCATCACCCGTAAGAATGGCTTGCATTCTCGATGGATTTGCACTGCCAGCTCGCGGGTAGGTGTCATAACAATGGCAAGAGGGCCTTCCATCTGCTCCAGGGGCCGCTGATCCTTGATGTGACGGAACAAAGGGAGGAGAAATGCTATGGTCTTCCCTGAACCTGTCTTTGCCACACCAATGACGTCACGACCAGACATGATTGCGGGAATAGCTTGAGCTTGAATGGCAGTTGGTGCAACATAATTGAGGCGTTTGATAACATCCAAACTTTGAAATGCGTCAGCCAGGGACTGAACATCGAAAAGTAGCTGATACCTACCAGCTGGCTGGAAGACCAAAATGACTCCACTTGGTCACTGGCCGCGGGCAGTCAATACCACGGATTTTGATGCCATCAAGTTCTAGTCGCAAGAGGTCAGCTTCCTCGTCTGTCATAGCAGCAATGTCTGGAGGGGGAACATAAAATTCCTTCCGGAAGGGCTCATATTTGACACGAGAATGGTCGACAGCGGCGATATCTTTCTTCTTTGCCTTCTTTGCCGCAAGAGCAAGGATATCTTCAGGATTAAGATCGGTAGTATCAAGCTCGTCTTCCACAACAGCGGCTTCCACGACTTCATCCTCCCCATCATCGCCCATACGTTCGGCGAGAGGTTTAGAAGATATGCCTTTGCCGCCGTTCATCTTTTTCAAGTCTTCCTCGTCAACTTTCTTCACTTCAACCGACACACTCGACATGAAGGCATCGAGGGGGTCGACCGCGTCCTCGTCCTCTTCCATGGCGTCTGCAGCCTTGCTTTTGATCGCTTGGTCCATCCTGTTCGCCTCTTCGTCATCGTCGTCAACTTCCAGGTCGCCAACACTAGCTTCTCCATCCGCCATTGTCATGTCGACAGCAGGCATTTCGCCAAGGGTCTCAAGCTTCCGTTGTTTGGTTTCGTCTGAATCGTCCATGGCCGCAGCACCCTTTGATACTTTGAGAACTTCAGGTTTGAGGGGAAGACCTTTGAGCCCAAGACCTGTGAGGGCTGCACGGTTCAGAGAAGTCCCAGGTTTGGCGGACGTTGCGGTCGGGGCAGAAACTAATAAGGCATGGATCAAGTGGTGTGAAATCATGAAGTGCCACTCATATTCAAAATGTGCTCACCTGGTGCAGATTTACCTGCGAGAGCCATGGCTTTGACTTTAGCCTCATCAAGAGCCTTCTTGGCTTCGCGGTCCTTCTTCCAAGCCTCCAGCTTTGCCCTCTTCGCCTTGAGTTTCTCATCTTCGGGTGGGGGAGTTTGCGTGGCACCTACGACTGCTTGAGGTTTTGGAGGAGGGGAAAGCGGTCGTCTTTCCCGGTCTTTGCGGTCTGTTGAACGGGAGCGCCGACGGTCGTCTCTTCTGTCATCCCTGTAACTGTCACGGCGCCTATCGTCTCTGTGTCTATCATCGCGATACCTGTCGTCACGATAGCGGTCTTTATCACGTTCCCTATCCCGGTCTCTCGGGCGATCACGTTCTCTATTATCACGTTCGTCGTCGTATCTCCTGCTAGGTCTTTGGGTATTTCGCCTGGTCGGCGAAGGAGACCGGGGTGAACGATGAGATGGTCTTACCCTTTTGTTTGACGTGTCCGGGGAATATGATCTATCCCTGCGCACCATGCTTGTATACAACGACTTGGTGGTGGTGGTCTTGAAGTAAGTGTTGTTTGGTCATGTTAGCTCTGGAAGGTCTTGACTAATAAGTAAGCTAGGATGATCCAAAGGAGACTATCTTGCTTGCTACGCTACCTGCAGGACTCAATTCATGGCTAACAACGTATTGGATCCTTCTGCACTTGTCGGACTTCTTCTTAACATATTACCACCGACAAACAAGACATTAACGTCTCCCCATGATGGTTTGGCAGCGCTTGTCCACACAGCCTTTTCTGCTCTCTCGTTTCGTTTAATTGCAACGGATGACACATCTTCCGCAAAGGAACACCCTAACAATGTTCTTCCTGATGACTGGAACACAAAAGGACTGGTAGATCGTACCTTTCGCTACAGGCATGACCAAAGCGGTCTTGAGTTTGTTGTGAAGGTCATCAAGCTCGGTCAGCGTACATTGATCAGCGCCATTGCTGTTGAAGTGCGTCAGGTTTTATGGATTCGAAAAACAGTATTTAATTTAGAATTTTAGAGTGACAAGTCTGCGTCTCTGGATGTTGCAACAAACGACTTTGTCTCACCGTCGTTTTACCCCTATGACGCAGCCAAGTCGGACACCCCGCCGCTGGTCCATGGCTTCATTTCGTCCAACCGTATCACAGATTTCATATCTCAGCTTAAACTCAAAATAATACAAAAACTCATTCCGGGACTGCGCAAAGAAGGATATATCGAAGAAACTGAGGATTCATCCAGCAATGCTGGACCCGCTCCCCGCGCGGAGATTCCCCCTCCTGCCCCTCCACGACCAGACTCGCCACCTTATCCAGATGACCCATACTTCTTACCCCCCGGTTTACGACCTCGTAATCCGCTGGAGATCGGTCGTCAAGACCTTGATCCTTTCGGTGGCATCAACCCTTTCCAGCCTCCTTCACTGTTCCCTGGCAATGGAGGAGATGGAATGTTTGTTGGTCCGGGTCACCCTATATTTGGTATGAGAGGTAACCGAGGACAGGAGATGCGAGGACCATGGGGTGGGGACGGCTATCTCCCTCCGATGGGAGCCCCACCGGGTGCTCGTTTTGATCCGATAGGACCAAATCCTGGTCCCTTCAACCCAAGTTTCAATGGGAGACCCCGGCGTGGACCTCCGGGAAGCGGGAATGTAAGAGATCCCGATAATGACGAGTTTATGCCCCCTGGAGCTGTGAGTGTGCACTGCAGTAAAACAATTGCCAGCGTAGATGCTTACCTTGAAACAGGGAGATATGTTTATGTGAGAACGAACGGTGTGAAAAGCTGTGAATTTTGTATAGCTGATAAATTGTAACGACCATTGAGAGTGATAACTACGATTACGAGAATATAAGATGTATTTGTACCCTCTTAGCTAGCCGCTAGTACAACGTTGTAGCTCGCTGTGTATCACTGCGCGCTGGTAAGCCCAAAACGGCAACCTGCTGGATTAAGCGGGCTATAAAGCCGGTCGCTCATAATAGCAGCAATAAGTATCACCCTTAGCTCTAGCACACCATGCCCCCCCTTCGCGCACACAGCCCCCAATCCCCTACATCTCCAATGCGTCCCAAGAAGACCGCAGTGCTCCCAGGCTTTCGCCCACCTCCAAAGCCAAAGCCCAAATCCATCTCCCAAATGACTGTGCGAGAACTACACGACCAGCACGATCAGAATGCAAAACTCTTAAACTCCTCGTACGTGGATTTTTTACCCCCAGGTATTTCGCGATGATGGTAGCCTCCGTGGCTCCACTATTAACCTTGTGCGCATCTCTCTTTAGATCAGCCTGCACGTCTGCTCTCGGACAACGTCTTTCGGCTGAGCAAGCAGCCATCGAATCTCGCCTGCTCGAACTCGAGGGCATCGAAGAAATTCGAAACGGTCTTAAGAAGACCAACATTAATGCCGACGAGATCATGATTGTCGACCAGCCGCGTATGCCTCGTGTAATCGATGCCAAGCACAGGGCATTGTCCCGCTACGTAAGTATATACGTTTGTGTTATTTTCGATCACTCATAAGTCCTCGGGATACTCCAGGCACCCATCGCACCAAATGGTACTCAACAGGTCGGCTCCCTGAGTTTACAGGAAGCAGTAGAGCTGGAGCAACGCGCCCATGCCCAAGACGCAGCGAGACAACAACGATCAGATGAACGTAAGAGGCGCATAGGGCTCCCAATCAGAGGGGAAGTCCTTTCCAGAGCGGAAATGGATGCACGAATGCGGGCATTCATGTGAGCGTTTTATTATTCATCAATCTTCATGCTAGTTCTAATAAAACGAATAGCAACTACAAGCCGACGGACTCTGACCTCGAAGACGATATGGATGAAGACGATGAAGACGATGAAGACCCGTCAACATGGTTTGAAGACGACCAGGATGATGGTGTCAAAGGTCAAGACATTATCGAACCGGACTACGAAGAAATCTCTAGCATTATACGGGTTGATGAAAGCAGAGCACGATACAGCACCTTTTTCGAACCTAGGGATGGTGATTGACATGCATAGCATAATACCTATAATGTGTGAGATATGCACTATTTTACTTGTAGTCGTATTATGTGACGTTAGTTAGAGAAAGTGTACATCAGTGTGCATGATTCGAGAGTATAAACAGCGGAACTGAGTAATGAACAAATACCCTATGCGTCATTCCTCTACCGTGCGTGAATGGGGCAGCTTCTACCTCTCTTCAGCCACGAGGACAAACAAGCTAGATTGAGCATTGATCAGCATGGCTGTTGTTTATTGAAGGCAAGTGCTCACGGACCATTGTGGAAACTACAAAAGCAGCTGAGCCTCGCTACAACTGCGCCTGCATTTGCAACGTCAGTTAGTCGACTCTTGTGAGATATATAACATGCATACCCTCTGTAAACTCCTCTAGACAAATGACACCTGTGAAACCATAACCACTCGCATCATTGTCACACAAGAGTAATAAAACAAAACTTGCATTCAACACCCAGAAGTGCGCTCTCGCCAGGCAATTTATAAACCAGATATTTAGCAGCTTGAGGTGTTGTCTCAGCGTCTCCTTCCAGACAAATCTTCACGTGGGCTTCTTGTTCTGCCGGTAGTCCAAGATCTGCAAGGCTAGTGCTGCACACAGGGCACCTGGGATCATCACGATCATCACCAACAAGTTATGGTGCCACCAAGGACCCTGACTTACTCTGCAAGGTCGCTTAGTTGCGAACTAGACTCCTGCCTGTGGAGCTGTCCAGGGGCCATGAGCCTTCTTTGATCGACCACGATTCTTTCCATGGTGGACGAGGTGGAGCCTGAGAATCTAGTGGGGAGACTGGCATTGATTTCATCGTGACATCCTTGACAGACACGCTGAGTCGAAGAGGATGCTGCTGATTCTGGAAACACAGGGTCACGAACAATAACGGACGGATCGAGGAGTGCTCGATGAGAAGAGCAACGGTCACAAAAAATCCGACCACACTTGCGACAATGCTAACGAAAGGTCAGATGACGTGAAAAATAAGTGGGGGTAACGGTTAATCTTACATGCTAAAAAAGATCACAAATCAATCATTAGAAAACACCCGACGTGGTAGGACTTACTCTTCTTAAAAGAAATCCGAACCGCCGATGACAGTCATTACAATTGGACACCATATCGTCTCTTTCCCATTGCGCATGGACTTGGTAAGGCGTGGGGGCAGTCCACCTGGGACTTAAAACTTTCTGAGGTGCTTCGTGGGTAGGCACGCGGAAGTCAGGTGCCTGAGAGAGGTGAGGAGTCAAATCCGTAGGTGGACGAGAAACAGAAGTTGGGTGGATAGGCGCGCCTGAAGGCGTATAACCAGGATAGCGGAACTCCTCTTCGTCCTCATCGTCGTCTTCCACATAATCGTCATCTGGGCCAGAGATGAGCCATCTTTGATTACCAGCCGCGAGTCGGCGACGCTCGAGCTCTCTGCTGTAGGTGTTGAGCAGGACTTCAGCCTGAGTTTTTCGTTCTGTATCACCATCGCCTTGGATACCATCTGATGAAATGATGTGTCAAGAGGCTGCATTAAAAGGCTTACTAAGAATACCCTGTCGCAGTTCAGTGGTTGCACGCTCAAGTTTGGCAATAGCACGCCTTGCTTCGACAGCAGATAAAGTCTCCTCGCCGACGACAGCATCCCGTTGAGTTCCGACTAGATACCAAGCACGAGAGACGTAGTCCTGGGCCGATGACAGTCTTGTGGAGGTCATCGCTCCGAGTTCCTGTCCTTCGCCTTCTCCAAAATCGCCCTGGTCGTTCTCGGTAAATGGGACGAGAGAGCCATCAGACGCAAGATGGTACATGGCTCCATCCGGTTCCTGGAACGGTAGAGGTGGGATGTCAAGCCTACGACGCATCACGCGGACCCAGCGTCTGCGTCTTACCCACGTCGGAGCTCGTGCGGCCACAGATGCGGAGGTCACTGAGCTACTGCTGCTTGTACGGCTGTGGCTTCTGGAAGGAGCGCCTAAGCTAGCTGTCATAAGTCCACTCCCGCTCAGTAAACGCTGAAGCTGAGGGGGCGGTTCGGCAATCCAGGCTTCATCGGGCGAGGAAAAGTCCTCTGCATATTCCCAGGCTGCCTCCACATCAACGCCAGGGTAATCCAACGTCCAATCAGACCTAAAAGACGGTTTAGTAAGTAAGCTAATCAAAAATAACCTGCTGGTCCTCACAGCCAGAAGTGACTTCTTTCGGTGTCCTCAACGGCGGGCCTGTCCCTGGAGCTTGTTTCTGGTAATGACCAAGGATCTCCGATCAGTGGAAGCTGGACACCACTTCGCCAGGCAGCAACCAGTGTGGCGCCCGCGTCATTTGGGGAAGGCAGTTTCAACTCGAATAGTGCACGCCGACCCGGCCTACCAAGGCCATAGTGTGACCACTTTGGCTTCCCACCAGACACTGCCAACGTTTTCAGCCGTGCGTCCAGGCGCTGGTTCTCGTAAAGGATCAAGGGGACGGTCGTGTGCACCGCGAGAGGGTTGTACGGGACAGTGGTTCTGCGCCATCGCTCTGCTTCTGATTTTTGTAAGACCTGGGGGGGACTTGAGAAAACGCTCACAACAATTAAGAAAGTGGACACACCTCACATATCCATACCTCGAACACTGCAGCAGCAGCGTCATATGCAGTCTCACCCCAAATATTCCGGACAAGAGGATTTGCTTCTTGCTTTGTAAGTAAATATATAACGATAGGCGAGTGTCCTTTTGACGCCGCATTCACTAGCAAAGCATTTGAGATGGTATGGAACAAAAAATTTGAACACATACTAAGAGGAGTCCATCCACCTTTACTCCGAATGTCCACACTAGAAATACCTCCATGCTCACATAACCACCTCACAATATCAAGATAGCCCTAACATCCAATAAGCGTAAGATTCTTCGCAGGAAAATTAACAATGATGGTATCAGTAAGACATACTTTTGAACAGGCGTTGTGGAGAGCTGTCCAGCCGTCAGCATCGCGAGCATTCACGTCTGCTCTATCCGGTAGTAAATATGTGATAATTGGTAGGTGGCCATGAAGAGCGGCTTTGTGTAAAGCAGTCTTGTGACCTGTCAGCGTCAATGTGTGTGTATTGATGGTCTTCACTTACTTCTCCCTCGCGATCCTCTAGATCTGGAATTGCACCGCAATCTTCTACCACTGAGACGACGGTGACTTGAGCACATATAAAGAATAATGAAGGTTATCACTCACGCCATTTGACGATGTCTAAGTAACCTCGACTAGCTGCGGCATGCAAAACAGTGAAGCCTGTTCGAGGAGACGCGTCATTTGACAGTGCAAAGGCCTCAACTTGACTGCCTTGCGAAGCTGTCTGGAAGAGCTTCTTCAAAAGAGACAGGTCCCCAGAAGAAGCAGCTGCAGACAAAGCTTCCAACTGAGCAGGAGATGGATGAGGTTGGGTCACGGGTATAGCTGGCGAAGATACTGGAGATGCAATTACATCTACTGGCACCATAGGAGGTGAAACGGGTATTTGTTCTTGCTCTGCTTCTGGATCCGCAATGGAAGTGGCCACATTTTCTGAGGAAGGTGGCTCCCCTCCACTAGCAACAGTGGCGGTCTCCTCAGTGGTACCAGGGTAAACAAATTCCTCCTCTTCCGAGTCTGATTCAGGGTATGTGAATCCTTCTTCATCACTCTGGTCAGAAACATCGCTGGCAGTTCGGGACAACCGCGTGTCAGACAAGCCAGACCTGACAGTTGTCAATATTCAAGGACGCGTATGAAAAGCCAAAGAATGCGCACTCCTCGATAGTCCCTAAATGAGGTTTTCCTAGTTCTGGAGTGGCCATGGTGGATGCGTTTCTGCTCTCACAACTAATGCTGGATGATCAGTAAGGTTTTCGATGGCACTGCTGTGGGAATAAAATGCCATTTTTGGGTTCAACCAAAGGGAGTCGTGTCATTTGTGCCGGCGGTTTATCGTTGAACTGAAAATTAACGTCGATAGGACAACAAACGTGGTTCCGGGTTTCCAGCAGATTTGAAACGCGTTTTGCCTTATACCTTGACTGAGGTGCGCAGTCGTTTCATAATATGGTGTTTACATAATCGCGGGAGGAAATCATTGCACCCGCTGCGATCATCCGGAATTTATAAATATTGATATTGATGATGACTCTGCTATCAGCTTTCCGTATCATTCAACGCCGTCCTATCACTCAATATCGTTTTATGTCTTCTCTCGGTGGAAATTTGGCTCAGTTTTCCAAAGGTGCCCTCAATGGCGATCGCTCCAACCTCATTCCCTTCTCCTCACGACTTCGTGGTGGTCGGGCGCTGGCGCAAGACGTGTGGTCAATTTACAAGTAACTTGATCTATATCTTGTGATAATTTGGTGCCAATTCATCAATCTTCTTTAGTGCAGCGAACCTTCCCGCAGACTGTATCAATCTTGGACAAGGGTATATGAACTTCTCGCCCCCAAAATGGGTCACAGATGCCGCAGATGAAGCTCTCAAATCGCTTTTACCCAACCACTACTCCCATCCAAAGGGGCGCATTCGTCTCCGGAATGCCATTAAGAACTTTTATGAGAAGTCCTTCAATAGAGTTCTCGATGTCGAGACTGAGATTCTCGTAACAAGTGGGGCAAACCAAGGTTCGTCTAGTAATTCTGCAGATGAGTCGATCAGTAGTTCAGGGCTTTATAGGACAGTATTCCGTTTTCACCGCCTTCCTCGAGCAGGGAGACGAGGTGATCATGTTCGAGCCCTTCTTCGACCAATATCTACCATCAGTCACCTTCAATGGCGGAACGCCTGTCTACGTCCCCCTTCATCCTCAAACGGATGCTGTGACACCAAATAATAGTAACTGGACGATCGACTTTGATGAATTGCGGTATGCACACTCATCTTCAGATCAAAGTCTTTATTTATAACCTTACAGCCGTGCTATCACTCCAAAAGCAAAAATGATTATCATCAATACCCCTCATAACCCCGTCGGTAAAGTCTTCACGAGAGAAGAGTTGGAGAAAATAGCTGCTCTCGCAGAAGAATTCAATCTTTTAGTGATGGCAGATGAAGTGGTATGTTTCCTGTTCGTATTGCTATAGGTTTTATGCAACGATCAATTGCTTTTAGTACGACTGTCTCGTCTTTGACGGAAAGGAGCACGTCCGCTTTGCCACCCTACCAGGCATGTGGGACCGCACGGTAACTGTGTTGTCTGCTGGCAGTGAGTCAATAGTTCAGCCATAGAGGTCCATCTTACGTTATGTGCCAGAGGCGTTCGCTGCCACAGGCTGGCGTGTAGGCTGGTTAATTGGCCCGCCATCAATAATCTTTCCCACTCTCGCCGCCTGCACGCGAATCGTGTTCTGTTCAAACTCTCCGTTACAGGAGGCTGCTGCTGCTGGACTCGAGCAAGCTGCGGAACGTGGTTTCTTCGAGAATCAGCTCAGGGAATATCAAGAGCGACGTAACATACTCCTAAGCGCGTTCGATAAGCTTGGTATGAAATACAGTCATCCCGAAGGCAGCTACTTCGTGCTTCTAGTACGTACTGGTTACACTGACAAGATAGCCAACTGACATGTTTCATCTCCAGGATATCTCACGCGTCAATTTCCCTGAGGACTACCCCTTCCCAGAGCCAGTTCAAGGCCGAGGACGTGATTTCAAGTATGTGTACTTATTTTTGCTCTGTTCGTTCTAACCGGTCACGACTCAGGGCCTGTTGGTTTATCGCCCTTGAAATTGGTGTATCATCTATCCCTGTTAGCGAGGTAAGTCAGTACGCTTCAAGGTTGAATCAATATTCATGCAATCGCACAGTTCTATTGTGAGGAGCATTGCACTATCGGTGAGAACTTTGCGCGTTTCGCGTTCTGCAAGGATGTGGAGACACTCAGGCAGGCTGGGGAGCGTTTGCAACGTTTAGCGGAGTATCTTGTGTAGAGTCTGGACATGTATGTAATTATTTATCCGAGTCCCTATGTAGTTATACGCCTGGTAGAGTTTTTATACATAGCTATAGAACGGTTTCTTCAAGTCTGTCAACAATGCGCGAGAGGACTTCATTTTGCGAGCCCACTTCCATGTCATAATACACCGGGTTGCTGACTAGCCTTCGTGCAAGGAGCGTGAAGGAAAGTGCTTGAACGGCATCCTGCTTGTTTCTGATGGACCCGTCTCCTCTCCTTTCCTTGTACCATTTTTCGAACACGGATGAATCCAACAGCTCCGATTCAAGCGGAAGTCCTTCAGCCAGGAACTTGGAAAATGTGTCTCTGGTCTCCGCCTGGCAAAAGAGGAAGAAGTGGCCAGGGGAATCGTGCCTCACAGCCCGACTTTGCATCTGGACGACATCGACAAGACTGTAATCTCGCAGCTGCGGACCAGAGCCATCTCCCTCAAAATGAATATACTGGGTACCCATGACCACTACGGCTCCCGCCCTGACAGGCAGCTGCCAGCAAGCATCGCGAGGCGCCAGGAGTACGCGAACAACGCCTTCAGCAAATAACTCCAGGATAAGATTCCGATCTACTTTTGACATCCCACGGTGGAAGATCCCTACACCGCGTGTCACAAAATCAACCAATGTCAGGTCTTGCAACCGTGCTGAATAGTCTTCAACGTAAAGAGGGGGTACGGATTGCGGGAGAAAACCCCTCTCGATCTCCGTGTTTAGGGCGCACTGTGTGATGAGCTCTTGCGCCACCGTGCGGCAATGACTGCGCGAAGGGACAAAGATGATGGCAGATTCATGGGATGGTACGCTTGTGATAGCCATGTATGCTGGTTTCGACATGGACTTGAACAGTGCAGCTGAATGCGGTATTGTGAAAGTCTGATACATGATTGTGAGCGACTGATCTCGATCTGTGGGTCGAAAACTGTGGAGAGCCATGGGATCTACACCCAGCCATGAAGCGATGTCCGTGGGGTCATTGAGAGAGGCCGACAAGCCGATATATCGGGTGGGATTATTTTGCGTTGTATGTCGTAGCAGTGATATACTGAGTTCATAGGTTGCATCGAGTTGTTCCAAATTATCGCACACTACAAGAGATGGATAGTTTGTATGGCGGAGGTTACGTTGGTCAACAGCCTCGAGCAGCTCCGACGGCGTAACGACGCGGATTGTGCTGGTCCGGCAGGGAGAAAATAAACCTTCTCCAGAAGACATCTTGACCGTCACGTCAAGTGCGTTGGAAATGGCACGGAAGTCAAAGAGAGATTGAGTAGCTAGAGTTCGGTTTGGGACAACGAAAAGCACCAAGGACTTCGGACGGCGGAGTAGGGTTGTCCTTTAATAGACACTTTAGTATATTTGGATCACAAATGTCTTTACTGACCATATCGCTAGATGCCCCATGAGGGACTTGCCACTACTAACGGGAGCAGATACCAGCACGTTCATCGAAGTGTTAATAAGACTCCAAAACACTTGCGTTTGAATAGCATTGAAATCGTGGAGTCGGGCTGAGTAGAGATCTTCGAGTACAGGGAGGCACAGTGAGGAACGCGGGAGAAATGGGAGATCCAAACGAGGCGTATGGCTATGAGAGGGAGCAGGCATAACCAATCCATCCAAAGATACATGGTGTTCATCTTCGGCCCCCATCCATCTATCAGACACAAATCTGACGGTGAAATAGGGGGGAGGAATGTCGGTCGGTATCGAAACCACGAAATTCACATCGAGGGAGTTTGTCGACTCCCGTAATAGAAGGTGCGCAAACTGCAGAATTTCGATGCCTTCGTGATCTTCGACCCACAGCCAGAAAGGCTCTCCGGAACCATGCACTTTGGTGTTCCAATCGAAGTCTCGAGTAACCGAAACTACAATCTTGAGGACATTTGACCCCAACGGTCGGAGTGAGCTAGTCATTGTGACCGTAGGGAACTGCCGAGCTGCATTCCAGAGCGCTTTACCATGGCCTTCGTTTAAGCGAACTAGTTTACCCAACTCCACTGGAGTCATGGAAGCTAGTTCTGCGGGCGAGTACTCTTCTCTTGAATTCTCTAAGCCGTATATAATATCAGCCTTGAGATCAAACTGCCTAAGAGGTTCGTCGAATGGCCAAAGGCGTTTCTCTATAGCCTTAGTGATACCCATGAAAACCTTGGCCACACTAGCCCACTTGCGGCTGATCGCTATATCCAACAGAGCTCGTGAAATGCGTCCTCCATTCTGCGCCGCATATGCTGCGTCAGAAACCAAGGCAAAATCTTCGACTGGAAGGCGAGAAATGCAGCTTTGAAGGAGAATGTTGACTTTGCCTTGGCTTGTATCTGTCCCTCCCTTGGCGCCGAAACTCTGAATGATGCTCTGAAACCTCAAGGAACCTTACTCACTCGCACAGCACACGGAACTTTCTTCATCAGAAGCTCTAGTTCCTTCACTTCTGACTCTCTCACTTGGATTTGGTCAAACTGTTGTTGAATGTCAACTGACATCAAGGACACAAAACAGACTACCCACCTCCGTACTCATACTGAGCATGGAAAGCGCATCAGCTTCGGTCATCTTGGGTTTGAATTCCTTGTTAAAGACCTCGATGGAGGCATATCGAATGTAGTACCTGGCCGCTATCCTGCCGAGGTCTGTTATCGAAAACGCACCGGTCTTTTCAGTAAGGTTTATCATTCCTGCACTGGCCAGTCTTCGAGCTGCTATCATGACCAGAGAGTTTCGCTTCCGGCCTAGAAGGGGATCTTCTGCCACCTCATCCCGAGACATGCCTAATTAAATTGTCAGCTCCTATGACAAAACAGGGCTCGAAAAACTGGCCATATAGAAAGGGATTCTTCCGCATGCGAACATACAGATATGTATATCCCAGCCATCGAACACCTTCGTCGGCATTTGTTACCGTACCAAGAGCAATCTCGGCGTTCAGTGCGTTTTCAATACCTGAGATGAACCTACCTTTTGTCAGATAAATATCGGCATAAAGACAATCATTCATCTTACCGAGATTCAATCGGGTTCTGGATGATTGTTCAGCATTCATCGCTCGTCGTGGCTAGATAAACGTACCTGTGACGTTACAGCATCAAGATAGTGTACGAGTTTGTCCTCAGTAGTGCAGATGTATCCTTCACCACTTGTCTCGAAACCAGGCCGGCCAGCACGACCAAACACTTGCAATACATCCAAAACCGAGAGATCGACAAAGGATCCCTTTGCGCTGTCGTACAACTGAGTGCCTTTGATTACAACTTGACTCCTTCATGAGAGAAGAATGAAGGACACAGTAAAAATTTCTCACCTGCATGAGCAGGTAAGTTGACTCCCCATGCGAGCGTCGATGTACAACAGAGAACCTTCCTCCGATATATCAGCTTTCGCCTGGGTTATTTCCACGCCAATGCCACTGACCTTGATAGCTCGAGCTTCGAACATCCTCTCCATCATGTTCCGATCAGATCGCAGCATACCCGCATGATGAATACCAAACCCAAGATCAAACAGTTGCTTCATCTCCTTATTCCTAGAATCTCCTATGCTCCTTCGGAAAAGTGACCATTGAGGATGCTCCTCGCAGTTGTAATCCTCCAATGTGCCATCCATTGTCGCTGCATCCTTCAAAGCTTGCGCCGCTTTCACTGTTTCTTTCCGCGCATGAACGAACACCATTACTTGGTGTCCCTGTCGTACTAGTTCAGAAACTTTCTCGTATGTGACGCGGTCAAGATTCGTTTTAGACCGTACGCTTCCAGGCTTTCCTCGAACTCCAATGAAGTGCTGCTCCAAAGGTACCGGTCGGAAGGAAGAGTCGAAGAAAAAGAGTCCTTTATATCGGGACACGCTGATTATGAGTTAGTTTGATTGATCAGAAGCACAATGTGGGCAAACAAACTTCAAGAAATCTGCGACGTCCAAATAATTTGGCAACGTTGCACTGAGCCCAACTATTCTAATGACAGATTGGCTTGATTCGACCTACAAATGAGTGGGTCACGAATTCACCTCTAAGAGAACGAACATGTACCTGTCGCAACGTGCGCGCAACAATGGTTTCGATGACGGCCCCACGTTCTTCATTCAAAAGATGCACCTCGTCGATAATCAAAAGCTTTAACTTCTACATGCAAAAGACCGTCAGGCAGGTGAAAGCACAGGTACTTATATGGAGACATACTGAAGCTAATTCGCCTTCGCCAGTGGGCTTGCGAGTTACGACGTCCCATTTTTCAGGTGTGGTGACTATGACTTGGGTTTCGGCGATTTCAGATTTTGTCAGTTGCATGTCACCTGCATAGAACATTAATAAGTTATGCATGTATCGTAGAGAATTTATATCCCTGTCAATTCCTTGACTTGTATAGCGAGCCACTTTAGTCTTTTCCCCAGCTTTCGAACGATCTCAGAAGCCAGAGCTTTCATAGGTGCACTATATTTTTAAAAAGTCAGGACGCTTTATTATAAGCAAAAAATTATTGAAAGCTCACACATAAATAATCTGAAAGGCATTGCGATCTATCGAAGCATGCAAAGGTGATGATGGACTGATAGGTGATCGGTGCTGGTTGAGAACCCGAAGGATTGTTAACATCGCTATATCGGTCTTACCCTATAATGTGAGTTCCATCAGCTACAGTTCAAGGACGACGCGCAGAATAAGCTAACAGCACCAGTGGGAGCTGTCGAACGCCATTAGGGTGCTGAAGACCACGCGGCACAACCGGAAGACGCACCGCAAACCAGTATATTTTCGTTTGATTCATAAGCGGTTGGATAGATGATAGACTGCATGCGATTTAGAGAAGAATATCCCTAAAAAAGAAGGTTTGATTTTTAAAAAATAGAGGGAAAGGGTGGGATACATACAGGGAACGAGCCTCCAGTTAATTCATCAAGTTCGTTGACAAGAATGAGCCTTTCGGATTTCCTGGGTGGAATGACTCTGGAAGGAGGAAGGATGACTTCCTCATATTCCTGACTCGCTGGTGAGCAGATGGGATTAAGTAAGGCATTTGTAACCGACCTCGTAGTTATGTCTTGTATGTCCAACTGGAAGTACGTACTTGCTACCAAATTGAGAAAGCGAACCGCCTTGCATCATAGAGGACGAAGAGTACACATGTGGAAGCACTTCTGGAGCTTCTTGCTGGATATTTTGAACGAGGGGTCACGTCAAGGCGCAAATGAACTTACTGCCACGCCAGTAAACAAAGGACGAGACGCATTTATCCTGAGAGTCTCTTCCATGCGGCGACGAACATCCTGTGGAGCAAGGCTGGCAGTTACAACTGAACTACACGTGAGTAATGATAAATAATAATAATATTGGACAGCACTAACCACCTGTTTTTGGTTTGCCTGAGGTTGAGTTTTCAAACGTCGTTCTGTCTCGTCCAGACAACTAGGTACTGTGAGTCATTAAATGTGATGCACTTGATCACTACTGACCACGTTCACAAAGTAAGATCTAGAGGCGAGCAATTCTGCGACAATTTCGATGTCGTCAAAGCCAACCAGATCAGCGAGCTCGCCTGATATGGCATCATCGGGGAGTGTGGTCGACAGAATACCAGATATATGCTCTAGAACTTCTTTTGGTTTGCTACATGTCACGATCATGAGGTTCCTGCAGAAGGACGTGACAAGCCCAGGAACACCAACCTTGACAATCTACCTATTAGGTGCTCAGGCGCTGATAGCGACAATTTCTGACCAGTGATGAAGACATCCGTGATGGAGGTTCGGAAATCCTTTTCTAGATCGTCATTGACATCATGATCTATGCGTGGTGAGTTGGTCGGTTAAGGATATATCAGTCGAAGCAGGGTACCTGGACTTGCAAACGACTTGGGCCTAGACAATTAAAGTGAGTCCTTGTTCGACTCTAAAGACATGATTGACATGCAACAGACATTATCCAGTCGTCCAGTTGTTTGGCATCATTGAAGTTCTGAACAGCATATTCGCCAGGAGCAGACGTCAACTGGTCAAGATGCACGAGAATAGACATGCTAACTTGGTAGACCCTCTGGATAATATAAGAAATGATAAGGAGAGTTCGTTCCGTTTGTTGCGTAGGTAGTCACGTAGTAAACAACTTGCGTACTTGCGATGGCCCCGAATCTGATGTGATGACTTTCAAGTTTCTTTCGATGACTTTGGATTCACTCCTTTCCCACGACATTCAAGTTACTAACGGGTGTTTCGGTACCGTGGAGCCAACTAGTTTTTAATTTTGAAGTGTGAGTCAAACCAAGTACCAAGCATACCCTGTGACCCGAGATCGAGACCGCGGCTAGCACTGCCCAAGCGACACCACCGCGTTGCCCACGCAGCCCACCTACTAGTGACATGGGTCCTTATGACCCAACTTGAACACAGATACTCCATCGCTTCCGAATGATCAACTTGGCAAAGTCACTTCGACGTCGTGTATACATATACCCATTGCCCACCAGTGAATCTAGATGCTGATTTCAACTTGGATATTCACCGAGTTCACACACAGCAATGATGATAAGGCTATCATATGATACTGAAAATGCTGCTGTCAGCCTGTCGCACTTCCATTCTCCCATGAACCCTTCAAAGAAAATTGGTCGCTTTCGAATCCTGATCGGAAGAGCGAGTGCAGGAAACACTACCGTGCTTTCAAGAGTTTGCAACACACAGGAGAACCCAACAATATACAGCGCTGGGAAAAAGGTGGGCATCACGATGCTAGTAATTGGTAACATGAACTGACACATTCTCAGCGCGGAGAAATGGTGTTCAAAAGCAACCCGGGATTCGTCTTCCACGATTCACGTGGAGGCGGCGGATCCGAATTTGAGAAGGTCAAGGCATTTATCGAGGGCCGTTCAACTGGAGAAAGGAAATTAAAAAATCAACTCCATGCTATCTGGTAATTGCAACTGATCAATCACGACATGCGCTATCTCATAGTTTTAACATAGGTACTGCATCCCAATGGACGAAGCAAGCAGGTCGTTCACCAAGTGCGACACTGGAAGCAGTAAGCTTTCGCATCCAATTGTCGTTAAGGTTCAACTGATGCGCAGAATCGTGATAGTCCTCGGTTCCATTATTAGTAAAGACATTCGACGCTCTCCAAAATGTCATGTATGCCTTCCTAGTAGGTTGTTGATCGTTGACTTATGACTCTGATACATTATGATGCTGATCCACTAGATATGGACAAGGATGATGCAGACTGCGAGCCACTCATCGAACGCACGGCTGGAACTTTGGATGACGAAGTATTGAAGCAATTATTCGTCTCGACCCAGCAGACCAACTTGGAGCTCTGCGTTCGAGAGGTAATTACCCACGGTCTCATTTACTTGCCGCAAGCGTTAGCTCACTGATATTGTCCAGAATACCTTTAACTATACCGAGACAACAACATCGAAGGGTCCCAAGGAGATAAAGGGACATTGGGCGCCTGGTTCCCACATATTTGAGCAAGATTATCGAAAAGTTTAAAGGTTGCTCTCATTTATGTTGGGCGTGTACTCACAGGTAAGTACGTCTGTTGCTCCTTTCTGGCATGCTGATCGAAGTCGTTGTTCATCCCTCGACAGTGGGCAAGTGCGTTTATCCTTCTTCGAACTCGAGTTATGCTGACCAAAGCCATTGCCCACTGTTCGCAGCATGTGAATGTATCGATCCTCCTTCGAGCTCGAGCCATGCCGACCAAAGTCATTTAACAGGACGTGAGTGTGTCGGCCCTCCCTCAGAGGCCTCAAGCTCGAGCCATGCTGATCAAGGTCATTGCCCACTATTCGTAGTATGAGGCCTGCTGTCTACGCATATCGAGGAAATGTGTCCGCTTGGATGGCGACGTCTCCGTTCAAACGCTCTAAGGAGAAGGAGAAGGAGAAATAATCTTTGTGCTCTTAGGTGAAGGCAGGGTCGATTGAGATTATTCTTGAAATCACGTCGAATCATTGCTTGAGTATGCTTCACCGTCATGTTGTGGCAACAATCCTGCTGATCTACTTGTCTTTAGCGAAACCTTGATGTTGGGGAACGCAACATCATGTTTTGGTTCGGAGTGGAGCTGAGGTGTCTCGGCTGCGAATGCAGGTTGCTCGAAAGGTCTGTCTGACGAGGTAGATTTAGAATGTGGAACTGTACAAAATGGTTGCATGATCGCGCAGTGTGGCGCTTTGTCTGGTATGATGTATAGTATGCGTGTTTGGAGAATGTTGGTCACCCTCAGTTAAGACAGTGACGAGCACCGAGAGCTACTCCACTTGATGTCACTACCTCTCAAGTGTCCATGGTCCGATTTCTGGTGGTGCATGTTCCGCTTAGCTGAGTCCACAGATTGTCTCGACTTGCATGATTCACCTTACACTCTATGTTAACACATGGAAGTAAACGTTCCTGACAACGTCACTGACTCCAGCTGGTAGTTGATGGCTGAAAAGACCTGGCTCTGAGCGGAAGGACCTCGAGCAGCGCCTCGAAAATCTCGAGCTTTCGTTTTTTGAGGGACATCCTGAGCGTCAATATGCATATGATTAATATTCCTTCAATTGCAACCTAGTAGGGTAGTAAATACTCGACGAAAAACATTTTTTCGCCACCCGCAAACCTGGACGGTCAAATTTTCGCACCAAGGCAACTTGAACACATCATGATGGCGGGACGAGTGTTTGCTGTCCCCATATGGATATGGCCCACCACTTGCAGGTCGCAACAAGTCTCCAATATTAATGATGTCAGCTACGATCTTGAAGGTTCTCTGGTAGGCTTGAAGGCATGCAAGTTGTCAAGTTCAAGCAAGTCGCCAGCCAAGCAGGGATAGTTGAATCAACCCAAATTTACGTACCGAAATGATCGTGCACTACTGTTGCATAAGTACTAGTACTATCTGGTTATCATTTGATACGCGGGCTTGCGATACTAATTTGGTGGCTTGTTTGGCTAAGAACTTGAGAACTTTCAACTTTGCAAAACACGGGGAAGCCCAATGCAAGGACTTGAACTCGCCTCAACTTTTTTTCCTTAATTCTGCGACCTGCCACAGGTTCTACCAAGAAGTTCTGCCAGTTCCACTACCACGGACCACGGTACGGCGTACCCCATATATGTGGAGGTGATGCATATGGTCGCTGTTAATTAATCTAATTGGCCTCACTTTGCCTCGCAGAAGCGCAGGCTGTAAGGTTTAGCCAGCAAAAGGATCTTTCCGAACGCGAGTCCGAAAAAATCCGATGAATACTCCGTGAACTAGCTAGAGACAAAGCGCGAGACCGAGCCGCTAAATCTGAAAAGCACGAACCGTTCTTTTCTGAGGCGGGCCGGCGCCGTCCCGACAATGGATCAGCTGCTACGCTCACCGATGGCGGCCACTCACCTCAGGCTTTAGGCACCAACAGGTCCGCACCGTTAAGGCCCAGACTCTTTTTGGTGTCTTTATTAGGTCAGTAGTGACCGTTGTTGGTGGAAATGACTCCATGGCTGAATATTACTCCGCGCTTAGCAGAACGCATGCAAGGACTCCGAGTCATCACTTTTCCTAGTGTGGTGGGCAGAAGTCTGCCATTCTGCCACGTGGCAGGGCAGAACTGGCACTGCCAAGCAGATGGCAGAACCTCCCGGGCAGAATGTGGCAGAACTCCCGCACATGGAGGATGTACTATAGTCTATATAGTTTAGTGTGTCAGTTCAGTGTATGATAGCATTGAGTGAGGCACTTTAAAACTCTCTACAATGGCCACAAAGTCTGGAGGCCGGCCTCTGAACACGGTGCTCATCAAAAACAAACTTCAAAAAGGGTGATGCTACTTCTGCCAAGTCCAACAGATACTGGTGGAATTACAACCACTGTGATGCCCGCATCGATAGATCCATGTAGTTAGTACCTCTAGCACTATGAAAACATAATTCTGCCAGGTTCTACAAGTTCTGCCGGCAGAACTACCTTGAACTTGTTCTGCTCACAATACTACACGTGCACATAACCCTGAATCATTTACCTTGTTCGTAATCCAGATTGTATACCAACACGTGGCAAGAGTCTACTGTTTCCTGCTACTCGTTCGAAAAATTTCGGTTCCCTTAGGAACTTCTTGATTGGTACGAGCAATGATTACCATTCAATCTGCGCGTACACCCTGCCGTCCCTTAGAGCGCCTATCCTTATCACGCCATGTCATCGCAGTCGTGCATCTTAATGGGTATCGTATCGGATAATGATAGGCTGAGTGCGAGGTACTATAAGATGGGTTGGACATGCACGGTTTATCAGATGCACATTCACTTCTATCTTATTCCAGCCCACATTACATTATGATACTGGAAGCTCTTACCGGGAGTACCAACTATGCCGCTGGTGTCGCCATAGTCGTAGCCGCGGTGCTCGTCGTATCATACAAGAAATTCTCGCTAGCGCGCAGGAAGGGCATCCAGCTTCCACCTGGACCTCCCGCCCGTTGGTTCTGGGAAAGCGCGTTGCCTACTGTGAAGTGAGTTTTGCCAGCGTCATACAAGATATTATGGCTTGATGTAGATCGTCCACTTAGCATTGCCTGTACGCTGACAGACTTGGTTCGAGAGTATGGGCCGCTTGTGTCGTTCCGACAAGGTAGCCAACTGATAATCGTCATCGGCAGCGTGGAGGTAATTTGCCCATATCTTGAGCTCCCTCTAAAATAACTCATCCACCAGGCAGCCGAAGACATCATGGAGAAAGAAGGTGCATCACTGGTAGATCGACCTCGGTCCGTTGCCGCGGGTGAAATGCTCTCAAATGGACTGAGCCTCACCATGGCTAGCTCCGGAGAACGCTTCCGCCGCCTCCGAAAAGCAATACATCCTCATTTACAGCCAAAGGCGGCAGAGGCATACCAAAACATGCTGCGCGAGAACGCGATAGATTTTATATTGGATGTGCTGAATGACCCGACAAACCATCAAAAGCACTCACAGCGGTACGTCATTACCAAGCCCTTTTGTGAACCTTTCATCGATATCGCACCTCAAGGTTTTCATCATCAATCGTTCTTCAGGTGACTTATGGGAAGTCTGCGCCCACTGCCATCGCCGATCCCGAATTTGTCCGTCTCTGCAAAGTCATTGAAAATTACCAGGCTGTAATTCGCCCAGGAGCTTTTCTTGTCGATCGGGTTCCCCTTTTGCGCTACTTGCCTGGTTACGGAAAACAAATTTACAAGTGGCGTGATGAGGAGCTTGAGCTATTTAGGTATCATCTAAGGCGCGTCAAGAGTGAAATGGTGAGGGGCTCTTTTGTTTCGATAAATGCGTATCACTTATATCTCATTATACGCAGGATCAAAACAAAGCTGGGCCCTCTTTGATGAAGGCATTATTGGAGAACGCCGAAGAACACCAACTCTCTACGGATGAGGTGGCGTATCTCGCCGGAACACTCTTTGGGGCGGGATTTGATACGGCAAGCGATGCAACTTATTGTTCTCCGCGGACTAACTCCTGGTTCAGATCGCTATTGCAACTACCACTATTATTATGGCTCTGGCGTGCCACCCACTCGCCCAGGCAAAAGTACATGAAGAGCTCGATATGGTCATTGGGTTAGACAGAGGTAATGCCAAACCAAGAATTTTGATTTTTCAGTTAATTTCTCGTTGTAGCGCCGACATTTAAGGACTCAAGCTCACTCCCTCAATTGCACGCGTTCATATTGGAAGCTTTGAGATGGAGACCTGTCGTTCAGATAGGTAAATTCGAATTTCGGCACGCTCCTGCATGATGCTGATGTGCCCCAGGATTTCCCCACCGTGCAACCAAGGATGTTTTGTGGGTCAGTATCTTACTTTGTTCTAACCCACGTTCTCATTCTAGTCTATGTGCAATCAGCGAGGACACTGTATTCCCAAAGGTGCAACAGTCTACGGCTGCCATTGGTATGCCAGTGTTGCTTCGTGATGTACATTGTTTCATTAAGCGCATGTTTTCAGGGCTCTTTCTCGCGATCCTATCGTCTTCCCAGATCCTGAAATATTCAATCCCCAGCGTTGGTTTGATTCAGAAGGCCGCCTTAAGGACAATAATGTGAGGTTCATCACGTATGGCTTTGGTAGACGGTAAGTCGTGCCGACTTCGGTTTTCTGACACTGCTCAACTAATTTTTATTCGACATTAAAAGTGTATGTCCTGGCCTGCACGTCACAAACCACGCGTTGTACATGACCACCGCACTTCTCATGTGGTCTTTCCGCATTGCTCAACGACCTGACGCACCGATCAACACGCACGCTTTCAATGACCGCGTCACTCCCCATGCAGAGCCATTTGAAATCAACGTCATTCCCCGGGTAGAGGTCGCGAAGCTGAGAGCGGCCATGGCAGGCTGATGTGCGGATTAGAGCGTTTTTGCTAAGCGTGACATCAAGCTCCTCACCCTCGACAAAACATTGTTCAACGACCTGACGTATCGATCGACGCACATACCTTCAGGGACACGTCGGGTCGAGGACGATGATAACGGATAGGTATATTATTTGCAGTAGTGCTGTTTGTCATCTACATCCATTCTACTAAAGTTCGGTCCTGCCGACTTTCACCTTGCTCCGGTTTTTTTCGGCAGCTTGTTCGTGAGGCGAGTAATTACCATATAAATTCATTTGATGCAGTGAGCGCCATGAGTAAACCATATTGAATGTCAGAGGGTGTGTACAACTTCAAGGCTTGGCCAGCACAGCACGACTCATATGAAGTTTTAACATTTGAACATGACCTTGCGGAGCAAGGTGATAAAACTCCTAGCTTGAATGGTGGTGAGCATCAATACCATTGCTGGCAGAGTAAAACCCGACCAAGCAATTCTTCTGACACTATATTTGTGCTTCCTACGAGGGCACTTGCCGGTCAAGGTTCCTTTGCGGAAGGATATTCCCTACAGAGGTCGATAGAGTCAAGACAATAGACCGGAAAGTCACCACTCCAGGAGGCACGCTATGATGAACACCCATATATTATAGAGAACAAGGAGGAGGCCCGTCATGGCAGACCCATTGCTTAAATGGTAATATACCTTGCAAAAACCAGCTAGGTTACGAGTGAGACGTCGTCGAGCGTGTAGTTACCCTCGACTGCCTACGTTGCTCTCGTTCGAAGGCTGCCATGTCGCTATACCATCGAAAATCTCGGGAAGCACCTCTCTTGGAGACTGGGGAGATCGGCGGACGCAGAGGCCCTATGCGATCCAATGGCCAGACGATATACATCAACTTGGAGTCTAAAAGAGCAAGAGGGACCTGTAGCGAAGCATTAACGCAGGTGAATTAAGGAGCATAGCGACTCACTGGGCCAAACTTATTGCTGTCAAGAGTCCGGAAGGGTTCGTCACCTAATGCAACGTCAAGACTTGTTCGAGTGAAAACGATGCGTCTCACCCTCCACCCAAACGTGACCTTCGGGGATGAAAACTTCGGCATCAGGATATGGAGGTAGGGTTTTGACAATATCCCCTGCCACAGCTATGACTCGCTTCACGAGCATTTTTCTACTATTTATAGGATCCCTGAACAGAGGAGATATAAGCAGTTTCCCCATGCCCCATGGAATCGGTCGTACCGAAGTGCCACAATGTCGCCTTTTCGAATAGGCTCTCCAGAGTTGATGGAATATCTGTCAAAAATAACAATATCATCCCAACTTGAGGTATCCGGATTTAGAGTTGGCTAGCTGGCACACAAGACTGGTCAGAGACGTTATTGGATCATTTGAGTTCACGACAGACCTGCATGCTCCTTCCTCTGACCGTTTTCAGAGTATAGAAGTACTGTGTGAAGCCCAAGCCAAGAGGAAGCCAGTATATCCATCGCAATGGCCTGCCAATGAAAGCCCATGGCCTCCTGCTAGAACTCCCTTCTGGGTCGGTAGCACTGTGAACCCGTCGTGAGGTCAACGGCCTGCTTAACTTTAAAAACTTCGGGAATAGCGACATATCGCTTCAAAAACCAGCTTGATTGAGAGTTTCTTCTAAGAGTTTCACAGGTGAAATTCAGACATTTCGCTGCCAGCAATGATCACGTGCTGACTAACACTATAAAGGTCTTGGACTCTTGGCTTGCAGATGCCGAAGCCTACTTAATCTAGCCATGTACCGCAGAGAAAAAAACAGAGATGTCGCATCAACGTCTATTACCGAAATATGATCTCCCTTGCCAACTCATCTCCTAGCGCATTGACGCAACTTAAAATCTCCTCGCGATTATATTCATCGTTCCACTGGTGAGATAACTAGGAGAATATTCAGCTTCCAAGCGATCGGGTTGTCAACTACTCACATTAATGGGGATTATGGATATCGCCCCCTGTTGCATGGAATAAATGACCATCACTTCATCGAGTAACTCCTCCGAGACGTGAACAGGAGGGCCTTGAAAGGGGAAATGTGAATATAATACCAAATGATCATCCAATCATACCTTCGCCAGGATCCTGTGGACCTTCCAACGAATTTTCGGGGTGCACGAAAGCGGCATAGCGATACTTTTCTAATTGCGGAATACAATCCGCCAAAGGAAACCACGTAAATTTTTCCTGATTTTGCAGATGAATCTAGTCTTCTAAAGCTATCAGTGACATCATTACTTACAGGGTCGGCGAGATATGAAGGCGAATACCCGCCCTTGTACTTCATTTTTTGGCAAGAGTGGATGTAAAACCCTGAAGTGAGGCGAGCACTCAGATGGGCACATTGATGACGACAATAATATCTCACCCATGGCAAGTGATGTCATGCTGATGGCACCTGCATTATGTATTTCTCTAGCCAATGAGGCCTCTCGGATTGCACTGAGCTAGAAACACAGCCCGCTCAATCGCGCAAAAACGATGAGTGCACCAATTTATTGACCTTCCCAAGGGAATATTTGTCGTGCTTTGGATCGTACATGAAATACACGCTGGAGACGCATTCAGGCAAGATGTCAATGACACCCACGGCGATTAATTCGCCGTCAAGGCGGTACATCTGGTGGAAAGAACCATATTGTGACGGAAGATGGTCAGGTGGGCTTGTAGTATATGGGATAGGTTCATTCTTCAAAAGGTGAGTGTTAACGCCGACCACTGGGTGTAACTACATAGAGACGTACTATTAGAGGGCTTTTTACAAGGAAACGCTTGAAGTCTTCTGGTGTGTTGTATGGGTCGTGGTGAACCTCTCTTTGGTATAGCAGATAAAGCGCATATTTCTCTTCCGAGTAGGTTGATGGTTCGAGCGTCACCTATCATAACACTTTAATATCGATGGTCCGGAACGTCATGCATGTCATGCCTTAAATGTATGGCGGACTGTTGCATTTGGAGAAATGAAGTCAGACTCAGCGGCGTGTATCGAGGTAGACAGAGAAAAAATTGGAGGATCGCGTTTTGAAGCATTACCCTCTGATTTGGGTGGCTTCGGGGAAGACGATATACCCTGTAGTAGCAGTAAATTACTAGCCTCTGATTTGTGACCTTGCATAACAAAATGATTCCATCTGTTAACAAACATTCATCAGTCAAATTAGTTGCCAATCCACCGAGAGGTCCATCCGGAGATGTTCACCGGTTGATGATTTTTCTTTGGCTACGAGAGGGCTTAAATGCTATCGCATCAAGCCTGAGATCGATTTCACATAAGCAGAGTCTCGCAGCACATCCACAGACAAAATACCTGATAGTGTACTGTGGACAACACGAGCGTCTTAGATCAGGAGCATAACAATATGTTCCAGATCGTCTCCATCCTCGGTAGATCATCTTTTGATAGACCTGGCGAACTGTCAGAAAAGGAAAACAGGATAACATGTGTCTTGTGCCACAAAGTACTCACTCTGCACGACAGTTGAGACGCGATAAACCCTGCTTTCTTGAAGCTAGTCTCGGTACTACTTCGCTCTCCTAGTGGTCCACAATAACCGCAAGTTGAGCACCCCGGTCCCAGAGGCATACCGACCGAAACAACAGGCATGATAAAATGTCAATACAGCTGATACGTAGACGATGAGCCTAAGTTGATGGTGCGCGGCGAGCCGTTCGTGTCACAATGATATCATGAGTGCACATTAGGCTAGCCTCGATCTAGATGTCATCGTGAGAAATACAATGGATGCATAATTTATTTAGAACTAGTAAAGAAATAACATTCACGTACGCAAAAACAAGATCATGTAAGGATGAAAAATGAACTACGAGGGTACTATGAGTCGTGAATAATTATGAACGGGAGCGAGTAGTGCGTTGACCCAAAACTACGAGACAGGAGAAAACAGATATCATTACCATTCTAGCCCCAACCATCCCACCTACCATACTTCCGGTACTCTTGCAGAATTAGTTCTCGATTGTCCTTCCGGTCCCTGTCGCGTTCTCTTTCCTTTCCCTTCTCCGTGCGACTAGTGATAGATGACACACTGTTCGTGCGCGGACGAGAATGCGAAGATGCCTTGGGCGGGGAGCTGGACAGCGGGGTCCCACCCGCAGATGGCGAAGAGATGTTAGATGTCCCTTGTGGCAGTGATAAGCGATACCAGCCCCCACTGTACGTGAGCGCTATGAGCTGGTACTCCATAGGCGGATCACGACCGGGTTCGCTACGATCAGAAGGTGCTTCGATCCAGCCGACCATGCACTTCTCCTCATCGGTAGTGTCAGCCGTGGGCGAACGAGAGGACGACGTAGTAGAAGATAGTGATATGTGGGAGGCTTGCGCTGGAATGCGATACTGAGCATATGACCATTCGGAGTCAAAATAAGGGATGAGTGAAGCGAGCGGGGACAAGGAGGATTGTCGATTACTGTATCATCCAATCGCATCAGCGTTAATCGATCTCGGGTGGGACAGGGATGACTTACGAGGGGCCGGACATAAGAGAAAATACGTGTACAGTACCCTTATCACTCCAAACACATACTTCCTTCTCATCGGGACGAAAGGCAACCCCATATATTTCGGCCTTATCTGATCCCCTCCTGAATACACGTATCAGCTTTCCTGAAAGCGTGTCCCATATACGAACGAGGGTACCGCGGGACGAAGTCGTAGCGAGCATCCGACCTGATTGAGGAACGGTGAGAGTGTTCAAGGAGGACTCATGTGCAGCAATAATCGAGACTGGATGCTTTGATGGTGGAGGTGGCGGGCGAGATGGTGGGGTAGAAGGTGGGGGGCCGACTGGCGTGGGTGGAATACAAGGTGGTAGATGTACTAATTGTACGTGCCCCATCTGCCGACCAGGGAAAGCCAGAAGGGTTGAATATGCCCCAGTGGCCATCGCAAGTAAGCCTGCACACCGAAGAGCATAAATCGTCTATATACGCACGTAGATAACCCGGCTCACCTCGAGGGTTATCACAGGTGTCAAATTCATTTCGTCGGACGATGGTCTCCCCGACCTCGAATAATACAACTCTTCTCCGAAACGATACTGCAAGCCATCCACGTCTACAAGCAAGACCTCTGACCCTTTCCCTAAATTCTAGCTCTGCTACTTCTTCCCCGGCCGCGTCATCCCATACGACCACCTTATTTGGAGGATAGAGTGGACTGCGGCCTCCTCCAAGGAGAAAGAGCAGAGATGATGTATGACACGGCACTACGGCGGCGAGGGTTCCCCCAGTAAACTCTGTTTGATGTATGAAGATCAACAGCGAACAGAAAGAATGCTACCTATCCACCTCTCTTGCGAATAAGCTTCAGTGGCCATGTCTGGTACACAGCAAACCCTGCAGGTGTCGTAGTAGTAAATATCTGACAGTCTGCTTCAAATCGGGTATCAAAGATCTGAATGGGGTTTGTGGCAGTGATAGAGTGTCGAGCTAGGTTCATGGATCGACGTGATGAAAAGGAGGAGATAAAGTGTATCGCTCAGTCTGAGTCGTCCGCATGCTGTATCAGCATCAGGCTTGTGGCTGGAGCTAAAGCATTTGAAGTGGCGCAATTAGGTCTTTCACCGTCATCAGCCGCAAACTTTAAACAAGCAAACAATTGTTTACTAGCTAGTCCAAGTATCGGTACCGCTATAGCTAGTGAGGTAGTTCGACGCAATTGAATCAAATATTGTACATATGAAACCCATAGAACAGGTAACAAATATTGACGACTACGACAGGTTTAAAAAGATGCATAATAGATAAAACGTGTAGGTCCAGCAGAGTCACCTATCATCCGCGAGCAGAATGTGCGACAGCAGCAGGTACAAATACAGGAGATGCATATGCTGGATGATGCGCATAGCCCACCGCGTGATTTCCTGCGTTTTGCATAGTACGCGGAATAGCATCATTGGTATCATCCCAGGACTTGGGCGGTCGTAAGCCGACTCCGGCAAGTTGCTGCCTGGCAGCCTTGAACTCTTGCTCCTCTGCCTGATTCTGCGCAACTAGAGCTGCCTTGGCCTCTGCCTGTCTCTGTAATTCTGCCTCCGACTCATCTGACAAGTAATCTGTAAACCCCCCATCGGAGATTACGGTCGCATCTGATGCGGAGCCTTGCGAGCTACCGCTATCACTACTGTTCCCCGTAGTGTTCCCAACCTTTAACGCCGCCATGGCACCTTCTAATGTAGATCGTCGAGAAGATAACGGAGAATCTTGCGAATTCATGGGAACGCCGTCGACGGGAGATGGATAAGGAGGTGGCGGGCAGTACTCCCCAGAAGGCTTAGATGAGTTTAACGATGCTGAGACCGAAGATAATGAAGGCCGTCCTCCACCGTTACGCCGTGACAACGAACCGTCTAAGTCTGTCGCTCTACGCATGGAGGGAGTGCGGTTTGTCTTCTCTACGCCTTCTGAGATTGTTTGGCGACGAGGCGATGTGCTTTGCTCTGCAAATGAAGACAGGGGCCCAGACGCTCGTGGCGTCGTTCCTGTCAAAGGGGAACTCTGTTGTACAGGACTTCCACCTGAGCGCCCTCTTGCTGGAATGGGCATCGCCTGATTCTTCCCAGAGGTTGGGCTAGACCTGGTCGTAGGACTACTACCACTGTTTCTACGATCCAGTGATGGCATTTGCTGCTGGGTTGCTGGGCTGCGATTTGTAGGTGAGACACCAGGGAGGATGGCACCTCGTACGCTTTCGAGAATGCTTTTTATCTCTTGAGGCATAGGTATGCTGTGGACGATGCTGACACTAGGCCAATCTGCAGCCTGTATGAGGCGCTGCTCATTGGGATTTGGAGGCCGGCAGCATCCAGGCCAACCGGGGTTCTGATGCAAGCTGACTTTGGAGGATGGATTGGCGCGAGCCCACTGTAGATCGAGGTGTTCAATGTACTGATGATTGACATGAAAAGAAATGACCTTGCAATAACCACATCCATTAAAAGATTTAACTAAGATTTGAAGCAATCGGTGAGTGTTACAGCTATGATTTATAAGAGTACATACCCTCGGCATTCTTTAGATGAACAACGTCATGACGAGGATGTAAGGCTCTGTTGTAACATACATCTCGGATGTGAGGGCATCTAGCGTGGGTAAGGTTAATTAGAGGACTCTTTGATGAATTAAAGGACATTACCTGTTTCCACTCGGCTTGAATACTTTACACATGGGACAGAAAACGGATGCTGGGTCAGTCGATCCATATAGGTAGCACATTGATGAAACTGATATTGGGGGAGGAGGAGATGGGATGAATTTATATGAAATACTAATGCAGGATAACTAAAAAAGGGTTCCGGTTCAAGAGACTGGACTGAGAAAGAAGTGGAATAGCAAAGGCAGGACCGCCGTATCCTGGGTGCGCTCTACTGATCGGTTCCGTGAGGGAGACCATGATGAGTTACGATGACAAGAAGCAATGGAGGTCAGTAACAGACTGACAAGATCGATTCGAATCCTTTATATGCTCCCCTGCTGTAACAATTGAAACGCTTTTAGTTCGACGTCGTCCTCATGTTTTAAAACGTGTAGACACCATAAAATCCAAAAACGGTTATTCTATAAAATTATATCATAAATTCGACAAATTAAGCACAATCTCCTAATCAAATTTACAATCAATTCTAATTTCGTATTTTTTTTCTTCTGGATTTCTAGAAGCTCGTGTGAAACGGTTCTCGGCCTTCCAGCGCTTAGATTAGCTAGGGTGTTCTCTATGGAAGCCATCCACCTTGCCAGCAACACTTGGTCACGGTGGCCGCAACGTAGCCTAACCCGTTCTTCTTTATAAACCACACAGTCAATCTCATCCAGAACAACCAACCAACCATGGGCAAATCTCAGAGCAAACTTTCACCGGAGCAACTCGCAGATCTACAAAAGAACACTTATTGTCAGTTCCGAAATATCTTATATCGATTCCATCTGATACTTTACCATAGTCGACAAGAGAGAGCTACAGCAATGGTTCTTTCTATTTATCGTCTCTTGTGGCGTGCGTTTCATCTTAATCGCACTACAGGTATAAGGGCTTTCTCAAGGATTGTCCATCCGGCCAGCTGGACAAGACTGAATTCAGTCGTATATATAAACAATTCTTTCCATTCGGGGACCCAGGAGATTTTGCAGACTACGTCTTCAACGTATTTGACGAGAACAAAAATGGTACTATTGACTTCAAGGAGTTCATATGCGCTCTCAGTGTCACGAGCCGCGGCCGATTAGACGAGAAGCTCAAGTGTACGTACACTTCCCCACTTCATTTTGATACCGACCCCTCATGACGTTTCACATTTGACCTAATTCTTACTCACTTTCCTCCAGGGGCTTTTCAGTTGTACGATATAGACAAAGATGGTTTCATCACCTATGATGAGATGTTACAGATCGTAACGTCCATATACAAGATGACTGGACAAATGGTCAAACTTCCTGCCGATGAGGATACTCCTGAAAAGGTTCGTTTGACAAACTACTCCGCTTTCATGAAATGTCTCCGCTCACTATCCCAAATACACAGCGAGTAGATAAGATCTTCAGGAATATGGACCGAGACAAGGACGCACAGCTCACGTACGATGAATTCGTCGAAGGCAGTAAACAAGACCCGACTATCGTTCAGGTGAGCACTCAGGGTCTCCACATGATCAGTCCCCTAACCAAGTTTATTCAATCTTTTTATAGGCATTATCGCTATACGACGGTCTCGTATGATCATGATGCTGGCATTCATGCAAGCGGATTATTTTTACTTCTCAACCACCACTGATTCATTTCCACAGCTAAAATTTTCTCCTAATATACTTTCCTGTGTATTCCAGATGCATCTTGTGGGTCGTTCAGCTCACGGAAATCAAGACCAAGCCTTTCGCACACTATACTTTACTCTACGCTATGGCCGGATCTGTCTACCTTCATCGATGTAGCGGGAGACCAGGTTCCGGTGCCGCATATTTTTATTCGCATCTCAAGGCTAGAATCTTGCATAGCCAACGTGATAATCAACTACTTAGAATCATAAGGCAGCTAGCTTCCCATACTTTCGTAGAATCTTGATGTCCATGTTTTCACCCACCCAGTTGTGAAGACCCTCAGCGAACTCGAGATTATCCCGCTCTGCCTTGAAAAGTTTGTTGAAATCTTGTGGCTGTCCGGGCTGCGCATTGCCCATGGCCGCAAAAGGTGACGCAGTCATATCACGCGATGAATCAGCACCTAAAAAAGAAGATCCGGACACCAGCATCAGACAACTAGATAGAAAACACAGGAAATAAACGGAGGCGCGTACCATTGTCACCGCCAAGGATAAGTCGATAAAGGCCGTTCAAGCCGAAAAAGTTGAGGAAATACCACGACAGTGATGAAACCCACCGAACATCCATATCAGGAGTATCGATACCACGCTGAAGCATGGACTTGAAGCCCAGCGTCAAGGGGAAAGGTAGTTTAACTGAGGGATCTTCAGGTCGGAGTGCTCTATTGAAGCGTTATGGGGAAATCACGCACTTAGGACGAAGCCTTGGAAGAAGAAGTTGATCCAGCCCATAATAACCATCTGTGGGACCATCATGACCATTTGGGTTTTCATGCCGGCCATCATGCCGTCCATGGCGGCAGGGTCTGACAGAGGATTGGGAGCAGATGACGGCGCGTCAGCTTTGGGCGGTCCGTCCTTCAGGTACGTTCCGGCTTTGTAGGCCTCAGAAAGATGCTGTGAGATAGATTTGTAAAATGCTGGTGGTATCGGAGAATTTGAGGACGTGGCTCGGAGAATCTGGGAGCGCGTCAGAGCACGCCTATTGCAGGTCACTGTGTTAAAGAGATATCGGGGAAACAAGATAAGGGTCACTTACTGCTCACGGGTTGCAGCTCGCGAGAGCTTTTTCGGTGGAGACTGCAAAAGAATCACCACATAATGGCGCAGTATTCCGACCAATATCTAGCCGCACACATAGTAAACACTTGCACCGCAGTGATGGTTAAACCAAACTCACCATTACAAGAGTAATTGGAAAGAGGACCCAGTCCCGAATCTGGGGATCCAAGTATAATGAAAGCCTATCCATTGCTATGCGTAAAAGGACTGGAGTGTGTCAAGAATACGAGCTGCAGCGACCTCGACGTGTTGGAATGATTCAGAGAGAAGATTTCCTTTTTGAGACAACTATCGACATGCGACGTGCGCAGTTGACGTTCGCTCTCACTGTCCGCCATTGACGTTCCCTCAGCTCCTTCCAGAGTCGTGCTTCTATTGACCCTTGTGGGGTAGCAGAAACCATGGACAACTCCCCGACTGCGCTATTTGACTCATATGAACAGGATTTCAGACAAATCATTGACAGCATTCGATCAAAACTTGACGGAGAAGGCAAGGATGAGCGTGGTGGTACGTAGCAGTTCCTAGTCTTAGTTCGTCGTTTTATCAGAGTTATTTGCACAGAACAGCGTAGAGCAGCACTCAGAAGAGTGGAAATGGAGCTGGATGAGGCCGACGAAATGGTTAGTTTACGCCCAGACTGGCACTGAAGTCAGATCTAAATGGTCACTCGTAGATATCGCAAATGGAGATAGAAATCCAGGGGATACCCCAGTCCATAAAGCCACAGTACCAAAACCGCCTCAAAACTGCCAAGGGAGACCTAGTGCGGTTCAAGAAGCTTTCCAAGGATATCCATTCTCAAGTGTCCAGGGCGGAACTTCTTTCATCTGGCAGAGTGGGCACACCCACATCAGACGAGCCCTATGGGCCCACCAGTGATCGTACCCGCCTGCTTGCGGGGACCTCCACTCTCGAGGATGGTACAAGACGGTTACAAGAATCACAACGCATTGCCCTTGAGACAGAAGACCAGGGTGCTGAGATATTAATGAATCTCAGAACGCAACGAGAGCAAATCGAGAATTCCAGAGATACCGTGTGTCTTGTCCCTTGATTCTTGATCATTACTTACCCCGTGCCTTACTAGCTTCGCACCGCTGACACTGCCATTGACCGAGCCTCAGGCACTTTGAAGAAGATGATTAGACGGTTAGTTTAATACTGCTGTAGGTGTTCTTAAACCATGCGCCTAATATGTGTTATACAGGATGTACCAACAACGTGTCGTCACCGCTGCTATCATTGTTGTCCTAGTCCTGATAATTGCAATCATTCTATGGGAAAAAGTTTTCCGGTAAACCGGTGTTAATTTATGGTTGTTGCATTACCCCTTGTCATATGTCTACAGACATTGTATTTATGCATAGTATATTTTCACAAGCTTCGGTTCAGTGACTTGTGATGTGCTAGATGGTCCTGCTATCAGTTTACATACTGGAAGAATACATTCCTGCCAGCACTTTGAGCCTGAGTCCACTTCCACTAGATCTTACTTACTGTTTGTCTGTCATGTCGGCGAATGCACGACGCTCCTTTTCCTTCTGAACGTCGTCATCGGTCCAACCCTTCTCCCTCTTAATCTCTTCTATCATCGCTCGTCGTTTAATATTTAGCTTCACATTAATGTGGCGCAGAAGATATGCTACTCCGATCTGGGTTGAAAGCAGAACCATGATAGCAGCCTTGCCTGGGATATATGCCGGTGCATCTTTAGGTTGGAAAATTTCAGTGCCAATGATGTTTCCAACGCAGAAAAAGACCATGGTGAGCGCGTTGATGGTGAGCTGTCGAACCATGTCAGGCAGTGCCCAGAGACAAAGGTATACCTGGCATACCTTCTTCGTGTAACCACTGGTGTTACTGGCATTGTATGCATAGATCGTAGATAATGTGCTTCCAAACGAGCCTATGAGATATGAACCTGCAAATCATGTCATCTTTTGACGTGCATGATGACTGCGTCGATCAATGCTCACCAAATAGTAAAACTCCCTTCTGTCCACTATCGTTGAAGCCAATCATCAGCGCTGGAAGGTGATCAGCCTTCTTCGGGTTGCTACAAACGAAGGATAATTTTACCGACGCCAAGAAGGGTTGGGAGAGTTGCATAAATCACTGGTAACATGCGTTCTCCCTATATTTGTCGATGAGTGCGGCCCCAATTTCAGTCATGCAGGGCATCACCTTTTTATCAGAATAATAACCGCAGACCACCACTGAGATAACCTCCACAATTCCAGCGGGAGTGGCAAGAATCAAAGTCTGCCTTGATCTGTCGAGAGGATGGGGAGAAATCATTAGTTACTGCGACAGATTACCCTTTGATGTGGCCTCACGTATATCCGAAATTCTTTATGATAATATTGCTGACTAGGCTGGCCATGAGCAAGCTCATGAAGCCATGTCGTCAAGGCAGAGATGACTTACAGTTAGTGAGACCGCCGCTAGGGATATCGGCTGAAACAAGAGTGAGGCGTGCACGGGTAATGTCGCGATAGATACCCACTAAGCATGGTTGCAAGCACGATTAACCAAGTTCGGACATCCAGAAGTGTCTCGATGACTTGTTCTTTCTTGAACTCCCTGTTCTCCGTACCACCCTGGTCATCCCTGACCCGTTCTAGGGACGCAATGCGCTCCTCCTCCGTAAGCATCCAGGCATTGACAGGCGAATCTGGTAAGCACGCTAATACGAGTATACCAACGAGGATTGCAAGGCCACCAAGGAGGTAGTAGACAATCTTGTATGGTGCCATGGCGCCTCCGTTGTAAAATGAGATTCCCTGCCAATCAGTAAGCCCAGCCCTCTTAGTGTGATGTCGCATTACATACATAAGCTACGAAGCCTCCGAAGACCTGAGTAAAACCAAGCTATTATGTCGCCTTCAGCAAAAAAAAGAAATGGAAAAGAAAGCTACCGACCATTGTGTAAAAATATGCAATGCGAATTCCCTGCACAAATCAGTTTCACCACAGGCAAAATCATTGACCACTCACTTGTTCATTTTTCCTATAAAACATCGATATTATCGATATCAGGATAGGAGACACACAGCTCTCGCACATCCCTGCCTGATTTTAGCGAAAGTCAGCTAGACGAATATCTACGCACCGAGAATAAACCGAAGCGCGAAGAAGGCATGAAAGGAATTCGCAAACGCATGGCACAGTAGCACGATGCCCCATATGATAACATTCACGCCTGATATTGTTCTGGTTTTTATCCACATCTAGGATAAGTATCAACTCACCAAGGTATTTCCCAAGCCTGAGCTTCTGAGCGATATATACTGTGGGGAATTCCCAAATTATAAAACCTGTGGATATAATATAGTTAACGCAAGAACATTTGAAAGGACTCATATTTACCAAGATAGAACGCCATTGAAACTAAATTATAGTTCTGTCCAGTTACCGGAAACCCCATGATACTATGTAAACATAATGTTGAGCATCCTCGAGACAACCTTCAGTTACTGACCTCGCATAATTGAGCGATGTTTTGTCCCTTTCAGAATGTCAAAACCAGATAAGCAAAAATTAAGGCTTTCTCACAAAAACTGGGTGAAGTAAACCGCAGCAGTTATTGGAATAATAACCTTGTCCTATCAATCTGTCAGCAAGGTCGGTAGTATATTGTAATGACCACTGTATGGATGTACGAGTTTGTTCCTGAGTCTTCGATTATATTCTTCATTGAACTTCTGTGCTTGAGTTCCCACTAGTCGAAGCGCTTCATCTCCTTTGAAGAGCGGAGAATCCGCAATTTCTTCACGAGATGTCTCTTTTTCTGGATCCATAACCCGATTCGTTGCGCAGAACATATGGCCTCGGGCTGTCTTCTCAGGTCCGGAGAGTTGGAAGAAGAACCGTGAATGAGGGATCACGGTTGTCCAAGTCATTCATGCTAGATATCCACAAGCCTGAGGCGCCGCAGCATGATAAGCACCAATGCGATAAGGCCACGAATAGAGTTGCGCATTAAATCACGATAAGGCATATTTTAGGAGCACAAGACAGTGTAGCATGGTCACTGAAGGGATGTCATTGGTACCGAGAAACGTCAAGAGTTGTTCGTAGATTCAAAAAGAACCCTTGACTGTAGGTCGCGGAAGTTGCGTGACATCGAATTCGACCAGAATTCTACTGCAAATGAACAAGGAAACTCATCTTTTTTTATGTAGAAATCAGTAAGGCATGTTGCTTCTGCTTTTCTTTTGCATGCGAATGAAAGTATCTCCTATCAAGCTCATAGGTTGGCAGGATATGGAGGACTAGAATTCAAATATGAGCCATCAACCACGACCACGACACATCCGAGTCGCGGAGGTCCTAGTCAAATCATCGAATGTGTACACGGATATAGACGGCTACCCACGAACGTCATACTCCAACAACCCCCGTTTTCTTGCGACCCTATTTTCCCGCTCGTATACGACAGCCAAACCGTATGATGAGACTCACTACGCTCAATCATGCACGTTCTTGCAAGTTCGTGTAGTACTTGGCATCATGCTCTAGACAACCTGGATATAAGGAATAGTTTACTGTAAGTTGAAACAGATGTTGCACTTGAAATGCGATCATTGACCACCGCAACAATTTCAAACCGATATGAAGCACAGCTGGACCTTTGTAAATTATGTAGGTACTTCAATGAAGTGGGTGAGCTTTAACTTTGTCACGAACGCGAAGTGTCACGCGAGACAAACTCCGCTCAAGGTTCACGCGCGCTGTTGGACGTACAAATCTGTTCATTCACGCGCCCAAATTCAAAGAAAATGGGAAGCGTGTCGCGATCAGTGAGTTCACAATATTATGGTTTCATACTTCAACTTAAGTTAACTCCATGAGCAGTCAGTGGCACCTCGTCCACTTGTCAAAATAGAACCTACTGAAGAACTATCTAAAGTTTCATTCTCTGACTCGGCACATGACGATACACCACTCTCAGGCTCACTGGCAGCTCCTAATATCAAAGTGGAGCCTGTGATCGAGCCGACATTATATCAACTCTATGACCTTGCTGACGAAATTCCATACACCCCTGAAAAAGCACTTCATGAAGGACTTGGCATGGTGAAGACACTGAAGCTTGGTATCGAAAAACTTGAACTTGGCAGTAGCAAGCTCCGTAAGGATGTTTGGCTCCGTGAAATAGATAGGTATGTTATCCCATACCTCGTGTGACTCTGTGAGGTCAGAAATGAAAACCATCACAGTCTCCTCAACCAAGTTAGTCCAACTACGATGATAGCTGTCTGTGGTGGTGCGTATTCATTGCTTCTAACATGTGTTTTGACTGAAGCCTGTATCCTGTAGCAACTGGAGCCGGGAAATCATCAACCATAAATGCACTGTTAGATGGTAAGCGGTCACTTTGGTGTATGCCCCTATCATGTCTATTTTGATATTTTTCTGTAGTCGACGTTGTTCCCACGAGTGGCATGAGAGGTAAAGTTGATTTCTTTCACTATATAAGATTTGATCACTGAGCCAATTTGCAGCCTGTACCTCTGTAGTCACCGAAATTTCATATCACACTGCACCCACAATTAATGCAGATGTGTTGTTCCTTTCTGAGGCCGAATGGAGAGAGGAACTTACTGTCCTACTCGATGACATTAAGGCTGAAGGTAGTAATCTGAAGCGCACTACTGACCTACATGGTGATGTAGAGGTTGCATGGTATAAGGTAAGAGTTATGAGGTTTTTTGGTGTCTTAGTATATCATTCATACTCAGGTCCATGCTGTATACCCATCGGTAACTCTACCTCAACTTGTTGATATGACCGCTGATCAGATGTTGGCCTACAATACAAGTGCACATCCCTAAGCTTGTCACTATAAAGTATGCTGACTTGGATCCTCTGCAGATATTGTCCACATCTTGGGCACTACGAGGAAGATATCAGCGGACGATTCAAGTAGCTTTGCCCAAAAAATTGCGAGATATGTTGATTCTTCCACAGGCCAGAAACGACAGGGTAAAAAGAACAAGACTCAGAAGGGTAAAAAGACCGGTGCTTCTGATAACTTAGTCATCAACGCCGAGGAAAAGGAAGACCACGACACAGCTCTATGGCCTCTGATTCGTCAGGTGAATATACAGTGCAATGCCTGGGCTCTTTCCACCGGTGCTATCTTAGTTGATTTACCTGGTGTCGCCGATGTTAATCCTGCAAGGAATCGCGTTGCGAAGGACTACATGAAGAAGTGCAACTGTATCTGGATTCTCGCGCCTATCACCCGTGCAGTAGATGACAAGACCGCTCGAGGTATCTGTTTCAACTCCACACCTGTGCCACAATTCCAATGTTTTCGGAAATAGATCTTCTTGGTGAAGCTTTCAGAACACAGCTGATGAGTATGTCTTCTTCACCCCCTTGGGAATAGGCTAACAGTTGTCCTCAGTGGGTAAGTTCTTCCTAGTACGATTGCTCTAAGGTAGCTCAATGTAGGCTGTTGTCATTCATTGTTTAGACGGCAAGTGAGTGATCTATTCTTCACTCATGCGATGAATTTCTTATTTGTTGGTTAGCTATGATGCCCACACCATCACTTTCATCGGTTCGTTAGAGCGCAACTGATCGAATTCTTGCTAAAATTATATACCTCAGCTACCAAGTGTGACGATATAGCTTGTTCGGAGGTTATCACTGCCTTGGATCTCGAGGACGACCCTGCGCTAGAGAAAATCAAACATTGCATCATTTCATGCATGGAGGAAACAGCTGAGCTCAAACTAGAAAAGGCTGATGCAGAGTTGCAGGCCAAAGGTATGAATGTTTTGTTCCTGTGACTCGGATAATGTACTTACTTGAATTTCATAGTTATCGACGGGTGGCTCAAACGACTCCAAGCCGTTATACAGCAATGCCAGGAAGACAAGACAGCACTCGCGAACGGTACAATGCTTATGCCACAGTTGACTGCAACAGCACGCCAGACAACCCAGAGCGTAGGCAAGAAGCGAAAGAATACTCGCAGCAAGGAATCTGGGCCAGCTAAGCGTTTAAAGAGCAGCACCTTTGAACAAGACTCAGAAGATGATACTAGTGATAGCGACATGGATGTCGATGACGCGTGTGGAGGGCAGAAATCAGTTGAAGAAGAGCAAGAAAGGAGGACACGCAGCATGACGACGGCATCGAAGATGAGCCAGAGGAAGAGGTTACAGTCAAGGTTCTCGATGCGAAGATCGACGAAGCCCAGAAATCTATCAAAGCTGCATTTGAAGAACTCGACAACGCACGGAAGGCACAGATGAATCATCAAGGATGCCCTTGATGACCTCATGAGGAAAGAGATGGAAGCGCGGCGTGACCAGAGTACATTTTGTTCTCTAAAGCGTTCGGAGGTTTGTCTCGTGACTCTTTTCAATCTATTTCTTCCTGACGACAACAACTTGAAGTTTTCCCGCAATGCTTTAAAGGAAGATTTCCGTGTCGGGCTGAAACTTTTTGATGGTTGGTAATGACTTGCCGTCTTTGAAGAATCAGCTAAGTTGGTCCACATGATGCAGATGCCACTGCCGAGGAGCGAGACCCAGAGGCTTTTGATCCAACTCAGAATCTGCGCAGTAAGTTTCACACTAATTCAAAAAAATTATGATGCTAAAAATTTACTTAGATTATGACGAGGTTGACCTTGAAGTGTTCACTTGCTCGTCCCGTGATTATGTCCGGATAACACGACGAATAGATCGTGACGGAGACCCATCATGTTTCTCTAACATTGCCGACACCGGGGTCCCCGCCCTACAACAATGGTGCCACCGGTTAGCCATTGGTAATCAACATCGTGCTGCGAAACAATACCATCTGCAATTAAAAATATTTGCAAACTCGGTGCGGGCGTATACTGATGGTATTAGTGATGTGATTCTTGCAGACAGCAAAGCCCTTCGTGAGAAATGGGAATCAGTACAGGGTGGTCAGGGTCCGGCACTGTATGATGTGGGGATGAAGGCTGATCACTTTGATATTCCAGGCCTGAAGGGATTCAAGTCCACGATGAACAATACCTCGCGCATAAAAGTGGATCCTTATGGTGAACCTACAGGAATCACACCTCGGCTGGTGAAAGTAAGGTCGTTTGCATTGACTTTTGCTTTCTGTACAACTCACATTTCATTGTAGGATTTTGATGCATGTGTCGAAAGATGCGTCTCGGATTTGCAAGGTCTGTTTCATGATGGCCTTGAAGACAAGTGCCGAGCGGGTGCAGTCAAAGTGAATACTGTTGCATTGTATCAGTTTATCATCTGATGACATTCCACAGGCTGCGCAAGGTGCAGTCCAATGCGTCGACAGGTTTGCACAGTCCATGCATTGGAATACCTATCGAGCCAGTGAGTGTTCCAGTCCGCACCCACACCCTCACTGATTTCGCCCGATATTAGCACTTCGTCGCCACGGGTCTTGGCATCGTGACCTCAATGTTGAGCTTCTGACGCCATTCACCCGGAATATTGCTTCTTCTTGGTCAACGCTCTTCGAGTCTGATCTATTCACCCCATTATCATCTGCCGTCACGGAATGCGTCAAGAAGCTGCTCGCAGATGTAGAGGTGAGCGCAGCGGCTGAATTAAAAGAACACGCATGCGCACGAAGTTCCGATTCCCAAGAAGAGGTACACCTCGCATTAGGGAAAATCGTCAAGGTCGTAGAAGGAGCGCTTGTACGGGAGCAGAAGGAGATATCTCGTTGTCTCGCTCCTCATGTCCAAACCGAACTGGTAGTCGGCTACGATCGAGCCACAGGACAGCGAGGCAAAGGAAGTGTCGCGCGACAGAAGGTATATATGTTAGTCGTATCATTTTAGGACCTCTTCTGACATGTTGCAGACTGTGTTCCATGACTACGTTGACACACATAGGCATGTCGTTTTTTATGGTGGAGCAGAGGTGCTCCTGGGTCGCTTGTCGGCTGCAGCTGAGGCCGTCGGGGAGGCTCTCAACGAGTCACTCCGGGAACTTGCTGAGAAGGTCAGTCCCTTCGATTTCATCTTGGTGTTAGCGGTCTTCATTCTCTCTTGTAGGTTGAAGTGTCAATTAGTGTGCTTTGGGAAGGCATACCAGATGATATCCGTGTGCGATCGCAGATTATCCAAACAGTGTCTCAGATGCTGGCACAGCTGGATATGTGGTCACAGGCAGCAGAGAAGGTGTCTTTGGCCTCCTAGATGATCATCGTCGTCACTCCGTTTCCTCAATTTCTTTCAGCATTGCCATCGGCGTCTTCCGTGTATCTCCTTTGCAGTACTTTAGCAGTTGTGTCGGAGCTCCAGTCATCGTGCTTTCGACTTTAGTCTCGTACTCGTCATACCAGAGGAGCTATCGCTGTCCACCCATTACTTTCCATTCAGTAAACTACTAAAGATGATAATATACAGGTGGGTGGGCTTCATCACCGGCGAGACTTTCCTCCCCAAATGATAGATCAGCTGTGGAAAATAAGATATCTGCTTTTCGAATTCTACATACATAAGTTGTGAAAGGCTTCCCGAAGTTCTGCCCATTGCAATTGCTGCACCCGCTTACCCGTGACTCGCCCACCATATTTTGGCTGCTCAGTGCTGCACTTGAGTATATTTTCCTTTATTACATAACACAGATAGGTAGTTCTACGAAGGAAAAAATACACTATTTCTGCATGACAAGTGTCCATAGATGATTCGGAGGTGGACGATGATTCTACTGTTATTAACAACCACGAATCACTCCACGATGTAGTAAGCGGGTGTAATCCTATTGGGGCTATCGTGACTTGGTGCTTCTGAAGGGGTTGAGGATTATCACACTTTCACGATGGTGAGAAGAAGGGAAAAATCAACGGGCCAAGGAACTATTCGTGCGCATACGTTCGCCGGCGAAGTATATCCACACTGGAAAGGGTATGCCAATGACTATGGCAATGCCTGCAAGCAGGGAATTGCCTCCACCATAGCCGAGTGCCGCAAACATCTGTTCTCCAAACAAAGGGAATGCGAAACCAAGGAGTGAACGGAACGTCTGATGATGTATTCAGTGGACGCCAACGAAATTAGAGGCAATGTAAGAAAGACTAACAGACGCGGCTGCAGTAGCGCTTGCAGCATAGGTGAACGTATCCACGAGATAAAGTTGAATAGGGAGGCTTCATGTCAAGAGATTAGACGTGGAAGAGACTGATGTACCGGAGCACACCCACAAACTTGTCATCAAACCGAATCCAAAGATAGCGGTACCAATGATGGGCATCATGAATTGAGCCTCGGCTTGGGCAGACCAGCCATACCAACTAACACATGTCAGACCCCATAGGAGCAGGAATAAATGTGTCTTTCTCACAATAGTCCCACTGGGACAAATAACGAGCCGAATATCAGGGCAGGTATGCGCATCTCGGGTTTACCCTGCCCTCCATTTTTGGCAGCAAGCTAGGTATAACAACCAGCGCGTGAGTTGGCACGTTCAAGGTAGAAGGCAAGTTGACATACGTATATGTATATCTTTCCTGAAACCCTGGCGCCAAACAAAGTGGCGGCTAGAAATCCAACGCCTGTTCCGAGGTACGTCAGACCTCCCATTCCAGTGCTGAAGTGGTACACCTTCGAAAAGAGGTCTGAGCGAAAATTGTTAGTGACGATCCCTGTAGGCAGGTATGATCTTACCGGGGAAAGTAGAAAACATCAAGTAGTAGATACCTGACAAATGATCTCAGTTCATGTTCAATGTAACTTGATGCGGTACTGACCGTATAACCTGCATAGATGAGCATCAGTGAGCCGCTTGTGCATGACATTAGATTTAAACTTACAGAGCCATATACAAGCTCAGGATAAAACATATAAAACTCCGGGTCAACAGTATGATCGGTCGCTTGAGGTTGAGCCATAAGTAGGCCCATTTGCTCATCTCGCCTTGGAGGGTAGGATGTCCCACGGTTGTCTTTTCGGGATCCAGAGCCATGTTATCCAGACGAAGCCTGATAAGTGGTGCATAGGTTTCTCTCAAGAGAGGAATGCCGATCATCGCGGCAATGCCTGACATCGCGATAACGACATAGAAGACATATTGTATACCAATTGATTCTGCGATGAAACCTCCCATAACGGGACCGATAGCAGGGCCTTGCGGGATGCGTAAACGTCATATAATATATGTAAAACCGTATACGACCCACCTATCAAGGGTCCGATGCTGTACAATGCAACAGCTGATGCTCGATCACGTTCCGAAAAGAGGTCGCTCACGACGCCTCCGCCGCATGCTATGGGTGGACTTCCCGCTAATCCAGCTTTGCAAAGAATGAGAAAAGATGGAGGTTGAGATGTCCTGAGACGTACCTAGAAAGCGGAAAACAATGAAGGATGTAGTGTTGGATGACAAGGCACAGCCAAGATTAAAGAAGAAAAAGAAGAGGTTTCCTAGGTGGAGCACCTTGAACCCATTGAGGTAAATGCTGGACTCATTGATGGATGCACATGACGCACCCATACACGACCATACACTTCAGACAAGGGTGCCGCAAATAAAGGGCCGATGGCAAACGACAGAAGGAAGATACTTAGAGTCAACGCTATGACTGTTGGATTGGTTATATCAAATTTGACGGCGATGTCGAGTAAACCAGGTGCCATGATAGAACTTGCTAACGGCGTAACAAATGTGTACAGTGCGACCTAATACTGACATAAGTCATCGTAAGTTGAAGTCGCAGATGGAAAAACTGACAAGCGTAGTCGTTGTCCATTTTTTTGCGGGAGACCAATTCCTGGGGTTCGCAGGGTGGAGTTCCCAATCGTAGTCTTTGTCGTGAGTATCCTCGACGTCGGTAGTAGACTTGACTTGATCGCTTTTCATGGCATGAATATCATTCGAATGATTTCGGTGAGCAAAAGAAACGGTGGTTGGAGAGCCCGACATGGACCAGCGTTACACCGAGTGGTAGGCAGGTACGATAACACATGTCCTGGAAAGACTCTTAAATAGCAGACGATAACCTGACTGAGCAAGTATTACTGTTGCGCTTTACCGCTGAACGTTTACGTTGCAATTGCTGACAAGTGAGATCTATCTGGCCCGAGCCGAATTTGAGTCATGGGCCTGCCGCCTGCGTGAGGATGCCTGATCGGCTCTCTCATATTGGTAGCTATGGAGGGAATGGCACCAAGGAAATTGGTAGTTATACAGAGAGCACGCGGCTACACAGCCAGTCTCCTGTCCAAGAGGCTGCCGAAACTCTGAGTATGCATCTATGGCTAGGAGAGTTTACTTACTTACAATCACCCCCTAAATCGCGCATCTAAAGCGATGTCGCGGTGTGTGCATGGTACTATGTATGTAGCATGATATTAGTAATGCGTCAGCGATTCAGACAAACTGGAACATCGGCCTCCGTGTTCAACATAACTAAATGGGGAAAACGGCCCGAAATCACGAGTTAGCTTGCTAGTCATGTTCAATCCCTGACGAGCGTGGCTTGAACCAAAATTGTAGAAGTATAGGGAATTATTTGAAGACAAGCAAAAAAGACCAAGTCGCACTGTGTAACTATATTACTACAAAGCATGTCCATACTCATGTGACCCATGTGCACCACCATACCCTTGATAATGGTAACCATCCCCGTTCGTTGCCGTGTAGTCATAATTATGTGCGTGCGTATACTGCTGGCTAGGATAGTCCTGCACATCGTAAGCCTGCCCACTCGCACCATTATATGCCGAACGTGCTCCTGCATTTGCTCTCCCTTGGTACACATCATGTGCGTCTGCAACATATCGCCCTGCCACCCCCGAGCTCCCATATGGATCGTACGGCCCTTGATCATCAGTTTGGTAAGCAAGAGTAACACCTTCCTGAAGATGAACCGTGCTGCCGTAGTCTTCTTCGTAGGTTTGGTGCTGTGGCTCGTAGTTCCCCGTAGACGAACTATATTGGTTGAACGCCCCCGCAGTCTGGTGTGAATACCCAGTGTTGTAAGCCGGCATTGGAGGATAGTCGGTATAGTCAGCACCGGCGGGATTTGTGTGATAACTTGGTGCTATGCTTTTTTGGTCAAAGTAGTAATCCTGGTTGTAGGCACCACCTGCCCCACGCTTGGAGATAGATCCAGCGTCGTCGTCGTCATCAACCGAGAGGTTTGGAAGAGTCGGCTGTGGTAAAGGTTTCCCAACCATCTCGCCCTTCTTGTTTTTCAAGTGGGAGAAATCTCCCATAGCCTCCTTCTTCGCTAGCGCAGCAGCCCTTGCAAGTCGCTCCTTGTTTCTACGCTTGATCACCTCTGCAATTCGCTATCATTCAATCAGCCATACGTAACCAAAACTCCAAGTGATGGATGCTACCTTGTCGACCTTGTGACATACGTACTCCTATATAACCCATGAGTGGATATGCTTGGCAGAGGTAAAATGGGTGGAAATATAACTGACCTTGAGGTTCCCTTGAATGTAGCACAACAAAGGAATGTAGAATATCCCAGCCATAATCAACAGTAAGAGCGAGCCAGCGAAGATGACGAAGGTGAAGAACGTGGAGACAGTCAGGGCGGAGGTTGACAGACTGTTTCCTGCAAAGTACTTGCTGATGTCGTACCAAGATCCCTTGTCGTTCTTCGCCAGGTAGATACTATAGAGTGTCAAAGCGTTGATCGTTTGTCTTGGTCCATCAGACAGTAACAGACGCTTCCAACCTAATATCGGTTCAGATATATTGGTTCAAGAAAGAAGCAGAGACTTACTCTTAAACGTAAAGAAGATGAAGAACGCAAAGTCATCTTTCTTCTTCGTTGAATTACTGATATGATCAAAGAAGCAGAAGTGATCGTACGAGCCTTGCGCAGTTTGTGAGTTTTAGATTATGTCATAAACAAAGGGATCACATACGGAGGGAGTAATAGTTGTTAGCCATCACGTTCGTGAATGCGTAAGAGATATCACGACTGGCGATAATTTTCTTTGATTTCCGGGCTTCGTACGCCAGCTGCGGATGATCAGATTCACGTTCTCTTGCCTAGGACAGCATCATACCAGGAGAAAGCCAAAAATAATACATCCTACGAACAGCCATTTCCCAACATTAAATGGGATATAAAAACAACCATCTTGATGCTGACAGTTGTCAAAGATCTGGTTGGACCATGTTGAAGTTGTCAACATGGTCGTAGCTGTGAAGATATCGGAAAGGTAGACCAGAAATGATTTGAGGATAATGATATAAAGCCAAAGATATCTTTGAGGAAACATCAATAAGCGCTCCAATTTTGAAATGATTGGAACCAGTGAATGAACAGCCGCCATCACACTGTACCACGCAAGCATCCACAGCCTGCGCGTTCCACAGGTCCGTACGAGTCACTCACTTTAGGCGCATGAGGAACCCATTATCGGTAAACTCACGGGTGTCGATGAAGTCGAACTAATAGCTTATTGGCATGCATGAAAAACCAGGATAGACAAGTGACTCACCTTATGATCTGGAACAATTTCTCGTTTCCATGCTGGTCCACCGCTCATCGTGCTGAGAGATAATAATGGGGATCAACGAGTAAGTCAGACAATAAGAAGGACAAGGGGGATTTAGTGGATATATGAATGAGCGTAGAGCGAGCCAGCCGCATGTAGAACCTGACCAGGTTCTGAGACAATGAGAGGCGTTAAAAGAAGGTCTAATCCGGCAAAAATCAAACCAAAGAGTGCTCTGGGTAAACTGTGAGAATGGACAGTACTAGCGCAGAAACTGTGGATGGAGGATGATGAAGAGGATAAAGAACGAGCGTGAAACTGGAAAACAACGGTTGCTCAGGCCCAAAAGCTATGTGACTAGTCCCATTTCGATTATATCTTTTTTTGTCCGCCACACGGTTACAATAAACATTATTGACCACTAACCATCAGGAAGCACAGCAATGACTACAGTACAAAAGATCAAAGTGTGCATTACTGTTTATCCTTGCTGCTTCTAATTAACGAGGGTGTCTATTATTCAGGAAATCGAAGATGAAATGGCTAGTCTTATCTTTTGGGATGTCATGAACCTCTGCTAACTTTCCGAACAGGCTAAAAGTGTGTTTTTTATCATTTATGAAGTAGGCTTATCAGCCGACGAACTTCGTGCTTGTAGCCCAAAAGAATAAGGCCACGAGCTACCATCTGGGTCAACTCAAGGCCAAGCTTGCAAAACTACGACGCGAGCTTATATCGCCCTCTGGAGGAGGCGGAGGCGGACCCGGTATCGGTTTTGATGTCGCTAGGACTGGTGTAGCATCTGTCGGTTTCGTTGGATTTCCGTCAGTGGGAAAGGCGAGTTCTCTGCGTTTAATTCCCACCCGCTAGTCATCATCAACGATCATCTAGTCAACTCTTATGTCGAAGCTCACGGGCACGCACTCGGAAGTCTCGGAGATTGACTTCACAACATTAACGACAGTCCCTGGTACCCTGAAAGTCCACGGCGCACCTATACAAATCCTTGATTTGCGTGCGTACGTATCTTTTCTTTGGTAATCATACTCTTATTCTTGTCTCAGCTGGAATTATCGAGGGAGCAAATGATGGTAGAGGTAGAGGTCGACAAGGTAAGTACAGCTTTTCTGCGCTTGCAGCAAGCTCACTCACTTTATTATTCAGTCATTGCCGGTATGACCTCCAAGTTTAACGCATGCGAAAGCCGAGGTTGAGAGCAATGCATACCCCAGTCGCTCGAACATGCAACCTCATTTTTATTGTTTTGGATGTCCTCAAGCCGTTAGGAGACAAAAAGATCATTGAGAGCGAATTGGAGGGCTTTGGTATTCGCTTGAATAAAAAGCCCCCAGCCATTTTGGTTCGCAAGAAGGACAAGGGCGGCATCGCGATCACCAATACTGTCCCGCTGACGAATATAGATCAAGAAGAGATCAAGGCAGTTCTCAGCGAGTACAAGCTTAGCAATGTGGATGTTACTATTCGGCAGCCTAACATGACGGCGGACGACCTGGTGGACGTCATTGAAGGGAACAGGTGTGTAATTTATGAGAAACATGCATAGTTGGATGTTTATACCTCGCAGAGTCTATATTCCTGCGCTTTATGTACGTGTTGACTAACATGAATGGCACTTCACCCTGTGCTAATTCCTTGCGTTTCAAATTTTAGGTCCTGAACAAGGTTGTTTATATCTTGGTTGAAATTATATGCCACTCACGTTGGTTATGTATGCAGATCGATGCCATCTCAATAGAGGAATTAGATCTTCTGTTCGTTGCTTTTCGTCTTCTTTGAAGAGTACTACTTACCGGTGTCCAGGTACAAGATTCCTCACAGCGTTCCAGTTTCATCGAGGGAATGGCTGAATATCGACGAACTCACGGAAAAAATGTGGGAAGCTCTCGAACTTGTCCGCGTTTACACCAAACCTCGTGGACAATCACCTGACTACTCCGCTCCGGTCGTCCTCCGTAGAGGGAGATGTAGCGTGGAGGATTTTTGTAATGCTATCCACAAGGAAATTGCCAAGCAAATGAAGTAGTGAGTGCCAATGCTGAGATTGCCTTACCAATTCGCGGAGCTGATTGCATGATCAGTGCCGTTGTATGGGGTGCAAGTGCCAAGCATTCTCGAGGTCAAAAGGTTGGCTTGGACCACATCTTGGAAGACGAGGACGGTAAGATTCTTATTCTTTCCATGCGTACAATCTCAAGCGGTCTCTCAGTCGTTCATATCGCAAAAAACTAGTCGACATAGTAGATGTACGACTCACCCCGCGCAACCCATTGTATCTACTAGTACTGCTCTATAATGTATAGAGTACTGAGCCGGATAAATGACCATATCAATCCCACCGCGCAGTAAACACTTGTCGCCATCAGGGGCAAAAATTCAGTGTCTGGATTCCCGCCAGTCATGAGAGGGAATAGGGTGACGAAAGCTTGGAGAAATGCAAAACCATAAAGATATGCATTCTCAAAGCTCTCCAACAGTACCCAGGGCAGCGATGAAGGAAATCTGTTGGAAGTTTTAATAGCAAGAAACATCTCTGTGTCAGTGCTCACTCGTAAAGCTGCTTGTGGAGGGGGTATAATATCATCCCTCCCCATATGACGGAATACACAATTTTTAGCAGTGTCTCTTTGGCTTCGTTAATGATACCCAAGACGAGCTGACATTACGGGAACGCACCTGCTGGCGTAAAGATCAAGGGGAAGAGGGAGAAGATACCCGCGACACTTGCGATAACGAAGGTCTTGTAATACGCATAGTTCTCCGAGGCCAGAAGCCTGCAAAACTAATTACTAGGTTAAAAAGAGTAATGAAAACCACGCACGTGAGAGGCACTAATACAAGCAGGATAGCCTTCTCATGCACATGCCACCCGAACATGTATGAAGCGTAGCCACAAAGCGTCAAGGCAGCCACAAACGACTTGTAAGTTGGCGCGCTCCATAGCTTGATGAGATAAACCTGAGCTGCAATATCAGAGAGATCGGCCAGTTATGCAATTTTTCGCACCATCTGGAAGATTATTGTGATGATAAACGTGTGAATAGGCTTGATATTTGGAATCACCGCAAAGACCGTATCGCCTACAAGGCCGCGAGACGTCGATGCAATACCAGATTCATTCACTACGAGCCCCACATCTAGATGTTTTACCACTGAGGGCCAACGTGAGCTCGGTAGTGGAAAGGTAGTCAATGAACTACAAACGCTGCAAAAGGACACGGTCTGCGGCAGTGACCAAGGCCCACGCATTTGGTGCCCAGTAAGCGTGATTGAGTCCACGTGTAAAAGGAAACAAGCGAGAAAGGAGTTGCAGGAGTTGGCCCATCAATACAAATGGTCCTAGAGAGGCTAGGAACACAAGCAGGACAGAGTTCGCTAATGAGATAAAGCGTGTGGGAATGATCGCCCCGGCGGGAGACATGCAATAAGACCGCAGAAGGTAAATAAAGTATGCAGGCTGTAGAGGTAACCCAGTGAGTCAAGGACCACGAATAGTGATGCGATCATACCGCCAGATACATGTAGATGTGTTTGAAATTCAAAAGAACGGCAAAAAGTATGCCGCTCGCAAGTTTTCTGCCCTATAAATGTGATAAGACGCTTTGCTCAAGTAAGAACCACACTCTTACTTCGCAAGCCATTAAGATCGACCATAGCAATATTCCAAACATAAATCCATTGTATTGGAAGTGTATGTGGTCAATCATAAGTAACCCTGGGTGAAGAAACAAGGACGCAGAGAGAATTCGTTGACGAGAGGGATCAACAGAAACACGGATGAACCTCACTCAAGAATTAGCGCTTCACAGATATGAATAAATAGAAAATCACCTCAGAAGTGCTGCACCAAGGACAAGCTCAGAGATAATGACGGTTAGACGTTGATATGCAATGACTGTCCATGCATCATATTGCAGATTTTGGAGGTCAACTATCTTGGGATCGATGAATGAAGCGGGTATGGACATCAAGCTCTCGAAATATGCAAAAAATGGAGGGTAATCCAGCGCTAGTCGACGAGATGAGACGGTGTTATACAGAAACTTTCAAAGGGGCTTACTCCACTCAGAAGTTGTCTTCAGCACCACGTTCAAATAAGCCTAGTAATGGAATCTAGAGAGCTTCAGGACGCACATCGTAATACCATCGAGAAATAGGAAGTGAATGTGTTATGGCCAGCCAGTTTCGGTGGACCTCGAAATCCGTAGAGCGACTTCACGGATAAGTAAGCATGCGGATACATATTTAAGGAGGGCCTACTATGCTGGGAAGAGGAGAAACTTGAATGCGGTGGAGAGAAGTAAAACATCGACTTCGGATTGTGATACATTACCCAGAAAGTTCAGCCACGTCCATGCTGAGGTAGATTTTGGTGCATGTGGCTTCTGGGAGTCGTCGAGTTCGTCAGTAGGTGAACTATGGGACTGTTTGACTGTGTCCATCGAAGTGTATAACCAACCTCTGAAAGTCAGTATAGCCGTTACTTCGTGTAACGTATTATGTCATCTACTATCCGAGTCGTTTATGAACACGATGCCGAGCCAAACGCTTTCCAATATCAATATTTATCGTGCTATGTACTTGGGAACCGCAGTTGAAATGGTCCTGTACAAAAGCACTTATGGTACTACAAAATCAGGTGACATAAAGGCTCAAGCGTTCAAGCAGACAATAATCAATTCTTGCAGGTATGGCTACTGATAACACTAAACATTACAGAGGGTGAATAATGATAACATATCTAAACGAACATGCAGAGGTTGATGTGATGAACATATGGGCGTGGTATAATGCATACGGAAAGTGGAATATATGTAAATAAGGGAACGCGGGAATGACACATCTAGAAGTCCTCATCCAACGAGCTGGATGAAACATTGTCAGACAAGGTCTAACAGAAAGATGGGCGAACTCACAAAGCTTTACCCGACACCTGATCGGTCTTAGCATTCGTATGGTTGACGTTCGCCTTTGAGTAGTCCGATACACGCTTTTCGAAGAAGTTGGTCTTCCCCTGTAGCGATATCATGTCCATGAAGTCGAATGGGTTTGTGACGTTGTACACCTTATCGTTGCCTAGCGACACCAACAAGCGGTCTGCGACGAACTCGATGTACTGACACATGAGCTTGGCATTCATGCCAATGAGGCCGACAGGGAGAGCATCTGGAGAGACGGTTAGCGTAAGATAGATAAAATGAAGCAATGACAAACCAGTCAAAAATTCTTGCTCGATGGCGACAGCTTGAGTAATTATGTACTTGACAGTCTCAGGGTGCGGACGACGCTTGAGGTGGCTAAAGAGCAAGCAAGCAAAATCGGTGTGCATACCCTCATCACGGCTGATGAGTTCGTTGGAGAACGTAAGACCAGGCATAAGACCGCGCTTCTTGAGCCAGAAGATGGATGCAAAGGAACCAGAGAAGAAGATGCCTTCGACGGCAGCGAAGGCGACCAAGCGCTCACCAAAGGTGGAACGATGATCGGATATCCACTTCAGTGCCCAGTCAGCCTTACGCTTGACACAAGGAATAGTTTCCATGGCGTCAAAGAGATATTCGCGTTGGGCAGAATCCTTGATGTATGTGTCGATGAGAAGCGAGTAGGTCTCAGAGTGAATGTTCTCCATCATGATTTGGAAGCCGTAAAAGCACCGGGCCTCAGCAGCCTGGACCTCATTAGAGAAACGTTCGATGAGGTTTTCATTAACAATGCCATCGGATGCGGCGAAGAAGGCAAGGACGTGTGAAATGAAATGACGTTCGTTGTCATTAAGACGGTTGGTCCAATCATGAATGTCTTTTGAGAGGTCCATCTCCTCGGCAGTCCAGAATGATGCCTCTGCTTTCTTGTACATTTGCCATATCTGGTGAATTGTTAGAATGGAGTTAACAAGACGATAGACAGCAACAAACCTCGTGGTATTGAATGGGGAAAAGAACGAAACGACGCTTGGATTCTTTGAGCAGAGGCTCTTCGCCTGAAATGAAAAGTTAGGTTGAACAACAATTGACAAACAAAATTAAGGCACTAACTTTCAGGCAGGTCAACTTCGCCGACAAATTTCTTGCGAAGTTCTTCAAGCTCGTCCTCAGCGTCTTGAGAGTCCGGCGAGACCGAACGCTTGCGATCATCGATCAAAACAGGAAGAGCATCCTCGTCATCTGATGGCTTGGTTGGTGAGTCTAATGAGATATTTGCTAGGGCTGCAGCAGCCTAACGATTCAATAGCCGTTAGCTAGTACACGGTTAACATAAAAATGGATGAACCTTCTTGCTTGGTGTTGGAGCAGGGGATGATACACGAACTGGTGCAAGAGTGGAAGCCATTGAAAGTATAGGATGATATGTACTTAGATGAAGAAGATATCGCAAGAGATGGAGGTCTGGCAGAAAGAACCAACCGAGGTTCAATTTAAACGGTTCAAATTGTGGTTGTGGTTATTTGTTCCACTCAACATTACGCGACGCGTTGTTGGTTTTTGTAGACGTGCCACGAGCGCGAATATTGATGTTTCATCAAATTCTATTATTAGCCAGACCAATCAACTTGGACCACTTCTCACATTTTCACCTTGTTTCACATCGTCTCTTGTGGTGCATGTACACTGCACTGACACAGATCTTTAAAATAACAGGTCAATGAGCAATCCGCAAGTGAACACGCAGATATAATCGGATGACCCAAAAAAAATTAGTCACGTACATCACATGATTACGTGACCTTTCAAAGGATCCGTCGGCGTTCAGCAGTACTCCACTAGTAGGTGCAAGCTTTATCTCTATGTCTGACTCACAAGCGCTCGATTGTTTCTTTGTCACATCTATCCAAGATCTTTCAATCGAGGTGTGTGGTTATTGTTGCTCACAGGCAAGCCTTAATTACAGGCTATCTCATGATAGGAGACATCACGGCAGAAACTTTCTCTCAGCGACCCATTCCTCTACCCTGAAGGATGTAATGGTATGAACAGCTCCGGTACATCATACGAGAGTGGAGTTTCTGAAGGGGGTACGCATTTTTGACTCTGCGTGTCCACCAATCTCACCAGAGCACACAGAATATGAACCGCTCCTCATGCCTTCTCAACGGCGCTTTGTCCTTTTCCCTATACAGTATCATGATGTGAGCAAATTTCCTATTCACGGTGGTGGACTTAACCGACGGCGTATAGATCTGGAACATGTACAAGAAAGCGGAGGCATCTTTTTGGACTGCCGAAGAAATGGATCTTTCGACAGACATCGTGCATTGGAATACCCGACTAACTGCAAATGAACGCCACTTCATCTCACATATTTTAGCTTTTTTTGCTGCGTCCGATGGCATAGTTAACGAGAATTTGGTTGAGCGTTTTTCCAACGAAGTCCAGATCCCAGAAGCTCGATGCTTTTATGGTTTTCAAATTATGATCGAAAATGTTCACGCCGAGACCTATTCGCTCCTCATCGACACACTCATCAAGGATGTCAATGAGCGCCAGTATCTTTTTGATGCTATAGAGACCATACCGGCCGTCAAGCGAAAGGCAGACTGGGCATTACGATGGATATCTGACAAGGATGCGACATTTGCTACTCGGCTAGTTGCCTTTGCTGCAGTTGAGGGTATCTTCTTTTCCGGCTCGTTTGCATCAATATTCTGGCTCAAAAAGCGTGGATTAATGCCCGGGCTCACGTTCTCTAATGAACTCATCAGTCGTGACGAGGGGATGCACACCGACTTCGCTTGTCTTTTATTTACCCATCTCAAGCGAAGACCACATCCGGATGTTATACAAAAAATCATTACAGAAAGTGTCCATATCGAACAAGAGTTTTTAGCAGGCACGTCGTTCAGTTGTTATCTTAGGCTGGTATTGACTGTGCATCGCAGATGCTCTTCCAGTTAGCCTGATTGGCATGAACGCAACCATGATGTGCCAGTATATCGAGTTTGTCGCCGATCGTCTTCTGGTGTCGTTGGGGAATGACAAGTTCTACAACTCCACCAATCCTTTTGATTTTATGGACATGATTTCTATGCAGGGAAAGACGAATTTCTTCGAGAGACGTGTGTCTGACTATGCGAAGGCACATATCAGACAATCGCATACTTCGGCGTCTTCAAGGCTGTTGTGAGTTTCCCACTATGTTATTCTAGAACACATGTCTCATTCGACAATCTAGTTCTCTTGACGAGGATTTCTGAGCTTCCATTCCCTTTTGTCATCGCGATTTCAATTAATAATATAGACTCATGCCCAATTCAACCACGTACTTAATATACAACCACCATATGCCTGTCTGTGCTTGTAACTCCCTACTTAATCTTTAGCATTTTACGCAGCTCACGATCACATTTATATATAGGATTTTCTTTCGTCGATGATCTACGTAAGAGCTCGCGACGAATCTGTTACATATCATATGAATGTTTCGTTTGACCGCCATCTACTTCAGGAGGCGAAATCACGTGATTGGTAATTTTCAGAACAGAAGATTTGGGTCCTAATAAGTTCAAGTTGTACTTTGATTGTCGACGGGAAGATGGTAATGCATCCAATTCCCTTGTCTACAGCTTTCGCAGTTGACAAGGATAATAGATTCGGCGACAAACACGCGAGCGACGACAATACATTTACGCCAAATCCCTCGAGGCTCAAGAACGTCAGACTTATGAGCGCAAACGGCAGCTCAAGGACGCACTTGCATCGGGGAAAAAACTACCCACTGAGCTCAAGAATGACGCAAAAACACTAGGAAAGGACTTGGCGTTTGACGAGGCACAAGAAGGTGGGTTGCAATCATGTACAGTGCTAAATTAGTGTATCTACCAGGTCTTTTGATCAGAGCCTTCAACGCACATCGATAGCGAATACTCGCGGGCTGGTATTCAAGACCCAAAAATAATTGTAACAACATCAAGGGACCCAAGTTCCAAGTTGTTGCAGTTCGCCAAAGTATGTCGTGCAAATATTCGTCGCCCGTCCCTATTGAAACCTTGCAAAGGAAATGCGGCTCGTTTTCCCCAACTCGCATCGAATCAACCGAGGAAACTACGTTATAAAAGAATTGGCGGATGCTTGTCGTGCCAACGACGTTACTGATCTCATTGTTCTCCATGAACACCGTGGTGTTCCTGGTACGCAAAACTAGAGTCAATTCCATATGTGCGCTAATTTGAGCATTATACAGATGCTATGATTGTCTCGCACTTCCCCCATGGACCTACCGTCTACTTTACCCTGCACAACGTCGCCCTACGGCACGACATAGGCTCGTACAAGTCCTCCACCGTCTCAGAACAATACCCACACCTCATCTTTGAAGAGTTCACATCTAAACTCGGTGGCCGGGTGCGAGATGTGCTAAAATTTCTGTTTCCTGTACCAAAAGAAGACAGCAAGCGTGTGATGACGTTCTCGAATGACGGTGACTTCATTTCCTTCCGGTGAGTATATTTGGAGGACATGCAACAGATACTAACTTGTGCAGACATCATGTTTTTATAAAAGTAGCTCGGGATGTCCAACTGGCGGAAGTTGGACCGCGCTTTGAGATGAAACGTGAGCACCATTTATTGACTTTATTGGCAGCCAACTCAATGCTTGAATTTTTAGCGTATGAGATACGGCAAGGTACTATAGAACAGACAGAGGCAGAAAGAGAGTGGGTATTGGCACATTACGCGAGAACGGCCAAGAAGCGCAGTCTGTTATCGGGACCCGCGGCACATTCAAGGGCAGATTCAGATCGGACATCGAGTAAACGACAAAAGCGATAGCATGTGCATTTATATGTCCTCGAATTCAGGTTCCTTTCAATGTATGCGAAAATCCCCCAACCACGTGAGCGATGTATTGTAAAGTGCAGGCCATTGCAGATGTGAACTAATCTACAGTAAGAGTCTTATCTAGCTCAGTAAAACCTTCAAAGAATGAGGTAAATAGGTCGATCGCGTTTTGAACGTCATGAGAGCCTGCAGTCTCGCGAATGGAGTGCATAGACAACATGGCATTACCGACATCTACTGTGCGCAAGCCAAGCTTCGATAACATCGGTCCAACCGTCGAACCACACGCCCTGGATGTTGATGATTAAGAGAAGCTTTTAAAACTAAATGAATACTCACATGTCGTTCCGAACCTCGTACTCCTGGACCTGGCCTCCTTTGCGCTCGACAAGTTTCTTCACAACGAAGGACCCGATTGCGTCGCTGGCATATTTCTGTTTTGCATTGGTCTTGATGACAATACCTCCGTTCATAGTCGGCTGATGGTTGTCCTCGTGCTTTGAGGTAAAGTTCGGGTGAATGGCATGACCCATATCCGCCGATATGAGGAACGACCGAGCAACAGACTGTGAGTGAAGCGCGGGAGTGGGAGATAGGCGTTGCAGAAGAGAGGGGATCAAGGAAGATTCTGCCCCAGATGTGGAAACGCTGCCAATTTCCTCATGATTGAAGAGGGCAATGCAGTTGACGTTGCCTTCAAGAAGATTGAAATTGGAAGACGAGACATAGGTGGAGATGGCATCCACAGCGCAGAAGCTACGATTGGTTGCTATTAGATACACCACGGATAAGAAAATTCAGGAACGCACGAGCAAACCTGGTTGTCCATGCGAGGACTAAACATGAACTCATTGTTAACGCCTCCCAAGACAGAAGGTTGGGTATCATATAAGTGCCTACGGAAGCATCAGGAATCGACCAGGTCTGGGGAGGTCTGGGACGCACAATTCAAAATCGTGGATCTCTTCAGGAGAAACTGACAGTTCGTTGGCAATGACTGAGAGTAGGGCTGGGTGATGATTTCCCTGGATGCTAGCAGCCGTCGCGTTTGATACCTTATCATCTTTGGACTTTTTGTTCAAACTTTCTGCGACAAGCCCTAGGATGGGTACAAATTCTGTCTCCTGGTTGAACTTCAAATTGTCGTTGACATTTCTGTCCACTGAACTGGCCATACATTAGCGTTCACACTCCACACATTCACGAAATGTACGGACGGTGGATGGCAAGGGAAGGAATACGCAGGAGAGGTTGGTCAACCTTGATAAGCTTTGATTGAAAGGTTCCATCTTGCTGCGTGACCACGACTCTCCCGGCCAACGAGAGGTCTCGATCGAGCCAAGAGTGCCAGATACCTCCACCATAAGTTTCTACTCCAACCTGGAGGTACCCAAGCTTCTCCCGCTTGGATATAGGGCGGACCTGTGCGAACTTTAGATATTTACAGATGAAGTGCGGTAACTAAATCACCCTCAAATTTGGGCTATCAACGTGTGTAGCCACAATAGATAAGCCCGCGCCCTGCTTCCAGTTCGGTGGAATCGTAAAAGCAACTAGTGAACTCTGATTACTGTAATATAAATCAGAAAACATAAAGTAACTAACGAGTAGACTGACCGGGTAAAGTAGTATTTCCCTCGGGGTTGCAGAGTCTTCTCCCAATCGTCGGCTTCCCTGATCTACGATGTTGTTTCGAGACACTAATTCGATGTATGTGATCCAACTCACCTTCTTGAATCCAGATGCTTCCAGTCGTACAGATGCATTATGTACGGCGTGAAAAGGAGTTGGTGATGCGTTCACGAAAGCGATGAAGCGTCTGGCTGCCTCAGAGCTCGACTGAGAAACTTGTAGCATCATTCTTCGGATTAAATAACAGTTTAAATCTGAGACTAGATTGCCTTTCGAAATATTCGATAGTCGGATCGTCCAAGATGTCTTATGCGCAAGGTGAGAGGTAGACACATCACGGGAAGCTTGCGGGAAGCCTTAGCTTGATAGATGTGGGAATAGATTACCAAATTTAGGTTCTCGCATTTTCTGCCTTCAAGTTGGTCCGCTCAGATATGGGTGACCATAACGCATCGTGAAGCATACAGATGGTGCAAAGCTACCTGCGGCACGGGCCAACCCAGGCATGAGGCATCTTTATATCTATTGCACTCGCGCTCACAGTCAGACAGGCTTTTGGTCTGATATGCAGCTCAACCTCCAACTCACTATATGATGGTAAACTAGCATATGTCCCAGCACTTGAGGACGTGCTTGTATGGGATATGAAGAAAGGGCAAATGGTATGCGGATAGTGTTTCAAGTCTTGCTGTTTGCTCATGTGTAGCCAGCTCTCGATGTGGCACGAAACGGGACACAGATCTGAGGTTACTTGCATGTGCCGTTCTCCTCAAGAAAACATTTTTGCGGTGGGCTACGCTGATGGTTCAGTGCGCCTTTGGAATAGTGCATTTGTCTCCGTCATTGCAACATTTAATGGACACCAAAAATCCGTTACTGCTCTCGCATTTGATGCACAAGGAGCCCGCCTTGCTTCTGGCTCGCAAGACACAGATATTATCATGTGGGATGTTGTAGCCGAAGCTGGTCTCTACCGGTACGTGATATCGAGTGTTGTACGAGTTTTTTCTTTACCCTTCTTCAAGTTTACGAGGCCATCGCAATCAAATCACAACCATAAAATTCCTTTCCGAGCCTGAACTTCCTTCCACCTCGACTGGTTCACGCTCTCATATGCTACTCACGACATCAAAAGATACGTTCATGAAGTTATGGGACACTTCTACACAACATTGTGTTCAGACAATTGTTGCTCACCGCTCCGAGGTTTCTTCCCTGGATATCGATCCAGAGAAGAACTTCATCTTCACCGGAAGCAGTGAGGGCGAAGTTAAAGCATGGAAAATCGACCACGAATCACTATCGCAAGGTTTAGTGGAAAATGAGGCAGGCGAGGCAAGTAACGATTTCGTAATCCATTAATTCAGGATTTCATTTTGTGTGTAGGTCGCAAAGATGATCCATCCTGTCACCAGCCTCCCGCTCTCATCACGTCACCGTGTATCTCAGATTTTATTCCATCCGTCACAGCCATACCTTGCTGTTCAGTCACACGACCGATCCATTGAAATCTTTCGTATCCGAACTGAGGAGGAAATCAGAAAGAAGCAAGCTAGACGAAAAAAGCGTGCAAAAGAGAAGGGAAAAAGCAAACAGAAAGGGAAAGATATCGATGACGCCGTGGAGGATGCTATGGATGTTGACCAGGAGATCAACGTGATTGATCTTTTCACTCCTTATCTTGTGGTTCGAGCAAGCGCAAAAGTTCGATCCTTCGATTTTGGTTCCAAGGAAGCTGTATCGAAACCTGGTGTTCAGGTTCGTATCAACTTACTCGAACACTGTACGACTCTGACTTGTCGCGTCGCAGCTCTTTGTGGCATTGTCGTCAAACGCCCTTGAAGTGTACAATATTCCACCCCCTACGAAGTCCAAGGAAGAGACACCTGAAGCCACTCGGATGTTTTCGGTTGATCTTCCCGGACATCGTACAGATGTGAGGACTTTGTGTTTGAGTGCAGATGACCAGATACTTGCGTCAGCATCTAATGGTGCGTTCGCGTCAGTGGTTTCAGCGCTTCATTAATATGTGTATGGAAGGTTCCTTGAAACTATGGAACTTGAAAACGACAGCGTGCATACGCACAATAGACTGCGGCTACGCTATTTGCAGCACATTCCTTCCTGGAGACAGACATGTAGTTTTTCTTTCCCCCCCCGAAAATGTCACGCTTATTAGGTTCCCTGCAGGTCGCTATTGGAACGAAGTCAGGGGAGATTCTAATATATGATTTAGCATCTTCGGCACTCACGGAGACCGTGAAAGCCCATAGTTCCACTGTTTGGTCGTTGCATGTTCGCCCAGACGAGCAAATTTTGGTCAGCGGTAGTGCTGATAAAGAAGTTAAATTTTGGGAGTTCGAGCGTAATGTTTTTTCCGATGACGAAGTTAGTGTTTCGTTGTTCAGACATGCAATCTCAATCACGAACCAACATATGCAGGTCAAAAAGTCGATGACGTTAAATCACACACGAACGTTGAAGATGTCGGATGAAGTCCTGTCTGTTAGATACAGCCCGAATGGGAAACTATTGGCAGTAGCCCTACTGGACTCCACGGTCAAGATTTTCTATCAAGACACCCTAAAGTTCTTCCTTTCTCTATATGGTCACAAGGTAAATCCCAGAGTCCTCTGTGAACACGAAGTCTCAACGCCTTTTCAGCTACCTGTATTAGCAATGGACATTTCGGATGATTCAAAGCTCATCGTTACGTGCTCTGCGGACAAAAATGTGAAGATCTGGGGCCTCGACTTTGGTGACTGCCACAAGTCAATATTTGCTCACGAGGAGAGTGTCATGCAGGTACTCTTTGAGCGAAAGTCACATTACTTCTGGACTGTTGGCAAGGATAAGATGCTCAAGTATTGGGATGGGGACAAGGTGAGACCCCTTCTTTTTCCCTTGAGAATCATTTCCAAGTCTCGTGTAGTTTGAGAACATCCAGAAACTTGATGGTCATCACAACGAGATTTGGGCATTGGCTGTAAGCAACCATGCCAATTTTGTAGTGACGGGCTCCCACGACAAATCCATTAGAGTTTGGGAGAAACTCGACGAACCAGTAAGTTGTACTGCAGTGATATATCTAGTACCATGCCTGACTGTGAGTCTAGCTTTTTCTCGAGGAAGAGCGGGAGCGAGAGCTTGAACAAATCTATGAGGACGGGATTGCAAACGCACTCAACCGTCCCGACATATCCATCGTCAACAACGGCAAAGCTGATGAGCAACTCTCTGGGGAAGCAGCTGCGGTCACCAAGCAAACTTCGGAGACACTCATGGCGGGCGAACGTATTATAGAGGCGTTGGATCTCGCTGATGCCGAGCGGGCTGCCTTCCAGGAATATGAAGGGAAGGTTGCTCAAGCGGGTTCACTAGAGGCCGCAGGGATGCAGCCACCGCCTCGAAACCCCATTCTCGCAGCATATGACTTAGAACCTGAGGCATACGTCCTACGAGTTGTCGAGAAAATATCCAGTACTGCTTTGCATGACGCCCTGCTAGTGCTACCATTTGACAAGGTAGTTTCGTTGATGCGCTACTTGGACCTATGGGCACAGAAAGTAAGCTTTTCTTTGAATTTTCCCCCAGATACATCCTCTGATGCATTACGAAGGGGTGGAATATTTCCCTCGTCTCTCGCATATTATTCTTCCTCTTGAAGATCCATCACCACCAGATCGTGGCTAATCGTGTCATGCGCACGGCGTTAATCCCGTTACGCGTCCACCTGCGCAGGTCACTGCGCCGCGAGAAAGATACCATTGGATATAATCTGGTTGCATTACAACATCTTCGCCGAAGAACAGAAGCAGAGAGGACTGCCCAGTTCTATGAAGAAGAAGACTTCGACGAGGAGAAAGTTCGCGCGAAGATCGCAGAAGGCAAAAAGAGAAAAAGGGTTTCCATCAAAGCTTAATTGGTGGGAATAGTTCTAATGTCGTACTCATAAGTGTCTAGCGGTACAAGTGTCAGACAGACAGTTTTATGCGCAACGCTGAGTGAATCAGGATTTGGCGGTCTGTGGCCCCCACAAGTCAGTGTCCCTATCATTACTGTTCAGTTGTGCAACCCCTCTGGCTGTATGTTACTTACCAGTTATCGGGATCTGTTGCTTGTCGCATCTGCACGGTCAGTACGCCTTCATCCAAACTCGCCAGTTCGCTGAATGCCGCCCTGGTGAGGTCGACGTGACGAGACCCTTTTGCACACCCAGCACAAGTGTCCACAACACGAATAAATATACATGTCTTGCCGTTGCAGACTAAAATTACAATCGAATGTACCGTGACATCAAACTCAGAGGAAGTTTGCAACTCACGTTCAATAAACTTGAAGCATTGTGGCTTCGTTGTCCAACCATCCAAGGTGACGGCGCCCACGAAAGACTTGTCCTGTTGAGAGTTATTCTTAGACTTGATCACGGCTGTATGCACACACATGCTTACTGTTGGTGACCACCCTCCGTTACTCCAACAACTGGGATTCTCTAGGTCATGGCCAGTATACCTGGTAAACATAGTTGACCGCGTCATGTCAACTGCAGTGCAGGCGAGATCACATACCAAGTTATGGTGACACCCTCCGAAGGTCCCTTACCCATACATCCCGCAAAGATAGAAGCAAGGCTTGAGACCACTGTTCCTAAAAATCCAGTGGTTGTTGTTGTGTTTGAGGTTTTTGCGTGCTTTTCTCTGTATTTTGATGTTTTGAGGCCGGCAGATGTGTCGTTTTGAGGCGACCTGCGCAGTGCTCTGTGGAAGGAGTGATCTTTGTGACTTGACGCGAGATACTTGTAGTTCAGATTGGAGATATTGACAGGTTCCCATCCGTCTCTTGGATTAAAGGAGTGTGATTCAGGTAGGTAGTGTGCTTTAGCGTATCGGCTGTCTCGTATGCCCCGTGTGTTTGAAATATTCATGATGGCTGCTTCGACCAGCGAAGCAAGGACCTGGATTGTGAAGGCGATTGCAAGCCAGCGCATGTTTATAGTAATATGAGTGAATAAAGGGCTACAAATGTATGGGCGAGAAATTGTGATGTCTCCTGCGATGTCGATTGTTTTGAAAGAACTCAAACCTCCCGGCGGACGCGCTGTTAGCACGTGACTTTTGATTTCTTGTTCGTACATCCACGTGACATGAATCGTGACAAACACACTAGGTAGACACCTCGGCTCAGCCCCGGCCGCCGGATTCCCCCTTTGCTCTATCTTGGAACAAAAGTTGTTTCATTTGATCATTCTTTGGTGACCAAGGACTTCTAACTTTAGACCGCGTACCAGTCGCATCTATGCCAGCGGACCCATCGAAGAATTCTCTTAATGCTCCCCGTCGCACATCTCGCAAAGTAGCGAATGAGGAGGAAACGGAACTCAAGCGCGCTCGTGGTGAAATATCGTGCGCAGAGTGCAGAAGGTTTTCCCGCTCTTCGAATCTAAAATTTTCCTAATTTATTGCTTGAAGATTGAAACTGAAATGTGACAAGAAAGTACCATGTGGCTCTTGCGTTCGTCGAGGCTGCCCAACCATCTGTCCAAATGGTTGTGTTTAGTTATCCTGCAATAAACCAGCTCTAACATCATTGTAACACCTACAGGTAGTCTTTCTACTGGGCAGGGTACTCGGTATATACCATCTTCTTCCTGTACATTTGATCGTGCTGAGTCGTTATTAGTTTCGTCCTTGCAGATACAGAACACCTGCATCACAAGATTGTGGAGATGGGCCAGCGAATCCGACAACTCGAGGATGCACTATCCATTTTTCAAGGCGGTGTGTCTGAGGAGGTTCATCCGCTTCTCGCCGACGATCTACTTTCCATAAAATTTGGACCAGAAGCTCCGAAGTCTAGCAATGATGCTACATATGAAAGCAGTAGTGTCCCCATAAATTCATCCGGCACTTTAACTATCGGCAATGGAGGAGAGTCAAATTACTTTGGGCTTTCTGCAGGCTCAGAGGTAATGCCACTTTTTCGCTTCCTTTCGTGAATGCTTAGTCACAGTAACTTGGACCCAACAGACCTTGTTCATGGTATGTTGGCTCAAAAAAAGCTAGAGACAGTTAATTTTATCGCATTCTGGCAGGCTGGCGCTGAAATCGATGGCACTTCATCCTTGCAACCAGACGAGCTTCAAAGCATGTCTGCGGACGTATCTCGATTGGAGTCAAGTCTCCCCTTCAGTTTGACTGGTATTCCTGACCATGATCAGCGTCAAAGTATCCTGAGCTCATTGTTAAGCCTTTTACCACCGTACCCGCGGGCTAGTGCACTCTGCGAGACATATATGGAGCACGCTGCTTGGATATTTCAACCAATCCGACGAGAGGAACTGATTGATGACATTCTGTCACCTGTTTACGCTCTTGCTCAGGAGACACAAAGTAACACATCTGAATCTAAAACAGAGTGCCCTGAACACACTATTGCCGCGCTCTATATGGTCTTTTCCCAGGGCGCTCTCATGGACTTGACTTTGCCACCATGTAACCAAGAAGCAGAGGACTACTTCCATCTTGGCCGTGTAGCATTATCACTCCGTTCTGTTTTCGAATTGCCAACTATTCACACTATTGAAGCTCTGGCTGTAATGGGATACTGTTACAGCAACAGAGGCAAGCAATACGCATTACACAGCGCGTGGTCTGTCATTGCACTTGCCAGCAAATTAGCTCAAAGTGTATGTTCATGATTTGACCCCGTCGAACATGTCATTGACCGTATCTTTTTCAGATGGGTCTTCGTGAGTATCTGTCTTCGGCCTCGTTTTCATCAGCCTTCATTCCTTGCATAGACAGGGACCCTTCTCGATTTAATATGAGCCCGAAGGTTGTTCAGCGTCGACGTACTCTATTCTGGGAAATCTTTTCTGCGGATCTCTTTCATGTGTGTGATATTTCTTGTACCTTTACATGGTTTTGACGATGTGGTCAGAGTCTGACTCTGGGTCGTCCTCCATCAAACAGGTTATCGTACATAGATTGCGAGTTTCCTGAAGATGAGACAACAACTATGAATGATCAAGGAGAAGTCGAGATTGGGTGTGAGTTCTGACTGTTGCCGCTCCTATTTCGCTGAATCATTCTACTTGACTAGTTTGGCGATGGAAGCATGTTTTCACAAGAGACGTATTCTCACAAGTCACAGAATTAACGCTGAGCGCAGAACTTCCAAGTTACAGCACTATCCTAGAACTTGATAGAAAAGTTCGCGAGAAAGTCTTACCTCCGCCTCTAAACCTTTATCTTTCTAGCGTTCAAGACAACTACACTACTCCATCAGCTTATATTCGTGGCCGCATCCTTTTCCAGTTTAGAACGACGAGTGAGCCCCCTAGACGCAACGACCTTCGGTCCTATCTGACGTCTTTACAGCGATGTTGTTCATTCATCGTAGTTTTTTTGCACAAGCCTTGCTTGACTTTCCCACAAATCCTCTCCGCAGTCCCTATGCTCCATCATTCCTTGCTGCATACCGTTGTGCCTCGGCAACGATCAAGACTACTGTCCTTAACTTCCAAATGTTCCCGGACCTCTTTATGCGTTGGTGGACTATCTGGAGCCATCTGTTGTCTGCAGCTGTACGTAATTGGCCTAGTATATGGCGTGATACTCAAGTAGGCACAGGTAATTGTGGGATCCATTGTTACTCGAGCACCATCGACGACCATGGCTCCTGCTGCATGGCAGGAATTGAACCTTGCAGTAGACATATTTTCACGGGGATCAAAGACATCAAGTCGCGCTCGTCATGGTTTGGTGCGCATCATTCAAAATTTACTGCACTAATGGATCTTATTCATGCGATTTCTCAGGCTATCCTAAACAAACTCAAACTGAAAGCCTATCAAGCGCTTGAAAAATATCGCAGTGGAGCGACATTTAACAACCAAGGCAGTCTATCCTCCCTCCTTCCGGAGGTGGGAGGTGATGACGAACTTACCATGTTTGGTGGGCAGACTCGTGTCCTCGTCACCAAGATCCTTTCGCAGCAGAACCGCAAGAAAGTACCATCGTCTGTTCCTCTGTCGGCTGCAGATCCACCGCAATCTACCACGAGTACCCCCTCGATGTCTGACGATGGTAGTCCAGAATCCATCCCTGACGTCCATCCCACGCTTGTGGAATTTTTGAAAACGCATCCTCCTTCATTGATGCCACATCCCACATTGGGCACAGGGAATGCATTTACAACCTTCCAAAATCAATGGGATGCATTTTCTTTGCCTCCTCCACTCGAATTCACGACACCAGGCTCCGCGCCTGTGATATATCCCTCCCCCATCCCCCAGACATCCGAGTCAGTCTCGTCTTTTCAAAGCCCCCTTCCACAATCCAATTTGTTTGATCCAACGAGCATGAGAGTGGACGATGATCTTGCTGACCTTCTCCTTTCTGGAGAGTCAGGTATGGGTGAGCGATGGAGATCGTTTATGCGGGATTCTGGAATTTGGGATGGGTCCCAAAGTTATGACCTCATGACGGATATCTAGAGATTTTCTTCTTCCTCGTGAATTCAGTTCCCAAGTTATCACATTTGAAACCTCTTATTTATAAAGCGACTCTGGTTCTGTACTCGATAGTTGTCATTTAGTCCCACCCATACAGTAATTTTTAGTCCACAAACCAAAGACCGAATGATTTGCAAGGGAGATCGTGAGTAAGTTAGTATTGCCGTTCTCTGCGACCACATAGAGACAGCCGCTGAGCGCTGAGTTTTATACCCAAATGGATGAATGGGATCTGAATAGGCCATCTCAGATTATCATCGCCTTCCACGATAGAAGTCCAAAAAAGCGTATTTGTCCTCCCATCCAAAACCGACCCTTTTCATCTTGCCCATTCTCGCTATAAGCACAGCGCAGACTTCGGCAAGTACATCAGAACGTGGCTCAGGAACCACCTCATTGACTATGAAAAGCTGAGAACTAGGTGATTCTGAGAGCGGAAGTTGGCGGATTGAGATAGATTGTGGAGAAAGACTGGTGCAAATTTGCAACAGATGTCGCAGGGGGTTGAGTGTAGCAGCCGGGACCGAGTGCGACAAAGAGGGTTGTGACGCTGTGGGGGGATCATATCTGGAACTGGTTAGATACAACAAGACGGGTGTTGGAATGTGATTTACCTGACACACATCAAGAACATGTTGTAGCCCTTTGTAGGAACACTTGCGCCATTAAAGACATCAGCGAATCGAAGCAGGCCCCTGCCATTGCTAGTTGTGCATTCAGGAAATACTACAACGGGTCTACGAGCTGAGCGACGAATATCATCAAGACTACGCAAAGGCACAGAGGAAGGGGCCGATGGTGTTTTGCCAGTTGAGGATATTATTTCCAATAAAGACGCCTGACGAAAGCCGCGAATGACTTCTGGTGAGATCAATACGCGGTCAAAAGAAGATATAGCTGCGGATCCGGTCCCTGTCTTTCGTCCTGGAGTGTACGATATTGACGATGCATCTCTGGTGGAAGACGCTACGGGTGCATTTGCAACAGGCAACACAAACAATGGATTGTATCTTACAGGACTCGTCAGAAAGAACTGCAAACACGATCGAGCATCTTACTTGTATGCCAGCCAAAGGACTTCTATCCAAGACGACCAGTTTGATACTATAAGGTCTCCTGCTCTTGGACTCCACTTGTTCTCAGAAATTTTTCTGATTCTTTTGTGAGCACTATCTCAAAAATCAACCAAACATAATGCTGACCCTCTTTTTCGAACAATAAACTCCGTCGACACTGACCAAAATCCTATCACATAGAGTGCTAAGCGCGCAAGCAAGACGGTGCCTAGCCACGAGATTGCATCTTGTAATGGCGGAACAGGACGCTGTTTCCTTGAGCGAAATTGTAACTGTGAACTTTGCAGCCACTCACACAGATAAAGCCGATCACATGAACTAGGACAAAATGGATCGAAATGAGCACGATGATCACGGCAGTCCGTGTTACAGCAACGACCGCTTTGATGGGCGTCAGAATGGTGACGAAGAGGTCACGTTCCTGTGGTGGAACTGGCGCAAGGAAAGGCTGAGTACG